AAGTAAAAAAATGTATGAAAAATTTTGTATGAAATTTTTTTAATAATTTTAATTTGTTTGTGTTACCTTCTATTTTATATTTGGTCCGAAACCAAGGTTCGAGTTTATCGTAAAAACTATCATTTTTTTCCTTTGAATAAAATAATTATGTTTACTCTATTCGGAGTTAAAAGATTAATTATTTCTGAAATTAATTCTGGTTTATAATCTAAATATAATTCTCCTCCGACTATATAATGATGAGGTTCGTACAAATGCATCGATTCTGCTAAAATTTCTACATAACTAGCAGAAGGAATTTCTGTTTTGTACCTTTAAAAAAAAAAAAAAACACAAGAATAACACAAAAATCAAAATTTATTTATTTTTTTTTTTTTTTGAAATTCCTTTAGAATTAAAATACCGAAAATTAATTTCGCAAATAGTTTTTAATTCGTTATATATATCTTCATTTGGTACATTTTTTTTTAACATGAAAATGTATGTAAAAACCAATCCGATAACCTACAAAAAAAAAAAAAAAAATAGATAAAAATTCTTTTCGACAAATGTTTCAAAAAGTGCAAGGTAAAGTTCTAACCTCATTAATATTTTTATAGCCTTCTTCTGTAAGAGTTAAAGATATGGAAAATAAAGAATAAATTGAATTGTGTTCGAATCCACTTTCATCGTTACCAGCTTCACATTGCAAAGCCCAAACCCTAAAAAGTATTAAAAACTTTTATATATATAATAAAAATAATTTGTAACATTATATATATATAAAACAAAAAAACATACTTTTTTCTTAAGTAAGATAAAAGGCTGCCTTTGCCTTCATGTCCAATCAGCCAACCAACATAGTCTAAGGGTTTACTCTTATATTTTTTTAAGTAGGAGGGGAGCACCCATGTTAGATGAACCTGATGAAAAAATTTTTTACATTTAAAATTATTATGAGCTAACTAAATGTTTCAGGCTGATAAAATTTTTTTTAATAACCTGACAAATATCTTTAACAGGTTTGACCCAAACAATTTTATTGAAATCATGTGATTCTCCGAAAGATCCAATATGAGAACTGAAGTCTTCAGGAGGTAAATTGTTACTCGGAACGTCACTAAATGATTCTCTAACAAAACTTTCTAATGTATCAAGAGACAGCCTGGCTTGGACAGCAACTGTCATTCTGTGAGCAGAATAGTGACGTTTTTGAAATTCATGAACTTTTTTATATAACAAATCATCATCTATATTAGTTCTTAATGTTGTTAAATTTCCCCAAAGAAATTTAGAAGCAGGATGATCAGGAGGAGCTAAAGATCCTAGAATTTGCTCTCGTCTTGTGCCATCAGAAGGAAGAGACATTTCAAATTCTATAAATTGTTTTATAAATAAAAAAAAAAATTAGTTCATAAATAATAATAATAATTTTTCTTTTTTTAAATAATCACATAAAATTCTTGTTATTAAAATATTTGAAAATTAAATTTTACCTGAGTGGATTACTTCTCTTTCCCTAGTCATCGCTTCAGATATCATTAAGGGTGAAATGAAAAATTGAGCAAAGCGATTCATTCCCTCTCTTAAATATTTTTCATTACATTCTAAGTAAAATGTGGTATATTCACATTCTGTAGAGCCATTGTCAGAACCTCCATGGCGCTAGAAAATTTCACATAAAGGTATTGTTATCCAAAAAAAAACAAAAACAAGAAAAATTATTGATTTAAATACTTTTATAAATTCATCGAAACCATTTTCCTGAGGGTATTTTTCACTTCCCATAAAAACCATGTGTTCTACAAAATGTGCTAATCCTGGTATATCAACAGGATCACTAAAACTTCCTACTCCTACACATAAAGCACAAGCAGCTAATTTTTCTTCAGCTTCTTTTTCATACAAATTTCCCTTTTTGTCTTCTTCCTAATTTACATATATAAAATTATTATAATTTCAATAAGGATAAAATATAAATATAAATATACATTTATAAAAAAATAAATTTTCTGAACTTTGATGCATAATTAAATTAAAATCAAAAACTACTTATGAAAATTAATAAATCTAACCTCAGAGTCATTGCTTATTGAATCATCACTGGGTTCTTCATTGGAATCTTCATTTTCACTGTCAACTGAATTTTTGTCACTTAGATTATCCAAATCAATAATTTTTTGAACATCAGACACTAAAATCACTTTCAGACCATTGTCAAGTTGCAAAAGCCTAAAATTAATAAAACCCACATTTAATGTTTATTATGGTTTATATCATTAATAAGTAATTCTTTTTACTATACCTATATTCCATCAAATCATTTTCTGATTTTATAATATCTTGAAAAGCATTAACATTGTTTTCTAATTCACTAGTCATTTTGCATCTACTTTATCATCGGTCATAACATTTGTATTTACAATGATAATTTTTTAAGTAAAGTAGCCCTCTAGAAAAAAAAAAATTAATACTAATGAGATGTAAAATTTTAAAAGAATTTTTTTTTTTTAGCAATACAGTACAGTAAATTTTTGAGACTTTTGAAACATTTTGAAAAAAATGTTAAATTTGCACGTAAAAAGGTCTCATGAATTTCTAATGGCAAAAAAAAAATAAATAAATAAAAAGAACTTTAATGTTGGCACTTTATTTCATCCACTTCTACAAGTTTTTTTTTTAAATTGGTAGCTTTGAAAATTTAACGGAAATTTTAATTGGCGTGGTAGCCGTTATAAATTAAAAACGTAGCAATTAATGTTTTTACCTTAGTTTTTTTTCCTTAAGGATTTTAATAATATTAAATGTGAGTTTACTGGTTTAAACAACACAATAATTTTTTTTTTTTTAAATAATATATTGCATTTTTATTTTAAAAATTTAATTATTTAGGTTTAATTTTTTTATGTTTGTGTACTTTGTTTCATTTCCATTTTACCATCAATACTGCAATAAAACTTGCAAGAAATTTATAAAAATAATAGAAAATTTTCATGACAGTTTTATTTTCGTTTCAGATGGGTCAATTAGTTAGTAAAATTATCAAGTCAGATTTAAAAAAAAATTCAAAGGACTCGAGTGACACAATGGTAGAAGCTCAAACCCAAACGTCTAATATTGAAGAAAATGATGACTTGCAGAAAACACCTGTTTCTGACAAATATTTGGACAGTAATGATGCCGTTTTAAACGTTGATAACCAATCACCAACGATAAAAATACTTAAAAACTTGAAACTAGATCCTAGGTCTCCTACGATAGGAATCTACAGAACACCCATTGTTATTGAAAATGTTAAAAATGATAATTTTGATTCTCCGATTAGTATTTATTCAACCAATATAAGTAGTTCTGCAGTAGATGATATAATAACTCCCATTGAAGCATCAGTAAATGTATCTGGCTTTGAAGAAAAAAATGAAAATTATGAACTTGAAAACAATCAAAATACAACACCTATTAGAAATACATCATTACAGGTTTCTAGAAAACCGAAAACCAGTGATGCTAAAAAATATTTGAAAGACATTTCTTCAAATCATGATAAATTAATAAAAATTCAAAAAGATGACTTAAATAATGACAATGTTTGTGATAAGGAAAATAAAAATTTAAAACCATTAAATCTTAAAACTAGACTGCCATTATCTAACATTACCTCATCGGGTAATTCTCCAAGACTGAAACAGTTGGGAAAAATCTCAAATCGTGGAAAAATTTTTGCTGAGGTTGGCAGTGAAAATTCTAGTCCCAAGATTAATCCTATGATAGAATGGGATACAAATAACACTGTCATCATTTAAGTAAATGCATATTTTTTATTTTTTCAAGTAAAAATTTATCAAAAGATTATTTATTTTTAAGTTTGAATAAGGTATTGGTGTTGTAAAAAAACAATTAAGAACAATTTGTATTCTTTTAAATGTAACTTATGCTTAAATTTGTATTTAAGTAAGTAGTACCTCTTATAAAAAATAACTAATGTTGTAATTTAATAAAAAAAATTTTGAAATAAATTTTTTTTTTTTTTTTTAATCTTTTAGTGTTTTATTCTTAGTGTTAACAATACAGGTAATTTTTTGCTGCACATAATAACAAAAAAAACTTTTTAATCATAATTTTGAAAAGAAATACTTATATTTCCATAAAATTATATAAAAATAATGTAATGAGCATTTTAAAAAATTTTGACAATATATTTTAATTTTAACTGCAATTGTAACTTTTAATAAAAATTATTACAAGTTTTTTATTTTATTTTATTAATAGTTTTTTTATTTTCTTTTATCAAACCTTCATAGAAACGAAAAAAAAAAAAAATTATTTAAACAATATAACCTAATACACTTACATGTTACCAAAATAAAATATTCCTGGTAATCATATAATTAATGAATAAGCATCTGTATCAATCATGTCATGTAATTCATAAGGAAACTAATATTTTCTTATTATATTTAATATAATTGGTAAAATTACAAAAATTTATAAATTCACATTAACAGATAAATTAATAAACTTAAATACGCGTTTAACTTTTTATAAAAAACCTATGAGTAATACTGCAATTTTACCCGATAAGTTAAAAAAAAAAAAAATCTTATTTAATTAATTACTCAATTTAAGAAAATAAATTTATTATAACTTCAATCATAAATACTGTTTTAACGCTTTTTAACATAAATATATAAATAATAAAGTAATTGATAAAATAAACAAACAAAAAAAAAAAACTTGAATGTTTTTATTACCTCTTTTTGTGATTATTAATTTCATTTAAATGGAGAAGAAAAACAAAAAACATTACACTGAATTTATGAATTGGCAAAAGTGAATGTGAACTGTTTAAATATTGACTAGACTATTTTAAATTTAATGAATGAAAAAAAAAAAAAATGTAAAATCAATCACAGCTCATCTTGAAAAGTATGTATATTGTGCAAATGATCACCATAATCGGTTGCTTCGCTTCCAACAAACACATCATAATGCTCGATAATTTCATCAAAAGATAAAATTCCATCTCCATTATTGTCACATTCAGTAAACAAATGATCGACTTCTTCTTCTGCAATTTCGCTGAATTAAATAAAATTAGTTGTGTTAAATATTTGATTGATTTGATAAATAGTAAAAATTATATAATCAAAGATGATGATGTTTGAAGAAAATTTATTTTCCAAAACTTACTCGTTGCTTGGAACCATCCATGAAAGAATTTCATTGGTGTTCAATCTTCCATCTTTATCTTTATCATAATCTGTATCAAATTTTGTTTTCTCTGATATTAGCCATTCTTTGTCATGTTCCTTAGCTGTTTAAATAAAATATTTAAATTTTAAATTACTGTTAAAATGTTTTATAATTTTTTTTGAGGTTTCATTTAATTTATTAATGTTTTTCGATTAAATAGATTTTTATTGTACCCTTTGCTCCGACAAATTCCTGAAAATCTAAATATCCATCTTTGTTTAAGTCTTTTTCCTCTAGTGTTTGTTTTAATATTAGGGGATGCATCTCTGGGTATTCTTCTGGATGACTAAATAATAAAAATTCTTTTTTGTCTAATGATCCATCATTGTTTTTGTCGGCAAAATCAAATAGAATTTTGTCATCTTGAATTAGCTAATTGAATATAAAATTACTTTTAACTTAAATTTTTTTCTTTAATAAAAACATAAAAAATAATTAAAAATTTTTTTTTCATACTTTTTCATCTTTATCTTGAATTTCATTATCTTTAATATCAAAAGTATCCATTAAATATTCTTGCCAAGTAACTTTACCATCTTCATTTTCATCGCTGTCTTCAAACCTGTCTTGTGATTCTTCTTCAGAAAGCATTCTAATTTTAGAAAATAATTTATTTTTTTATTTCAACTCATCGACCAATTAAAAAAAAAAAAAAAAATTTTCACATTAATTATTTACCTAAATGATCTTAATATCCATGATTTCAATTCTGGTTTTGAAATAAAATTATCATGGTTCAAATCTATTTTTTTTAAAAGAATCCCTAATCTTTTTTTCGATTCTTCCTCGGATAAGTGATCAAATTCTTCAGCATCTTTTACACTTCCTACAACAACAACAAACAAGTTTTATTTATATGTTTCTCGAGATTAAAATTATAATCAACAATTAAATAATTGGGTTTCTGGGGTTAAAAAATATATTTTTTAATGAACTCGAATCGAAATAAAAAAGCAAAATGTACCTAATGAAGGAAGCACATGCATTTATTGAAGATAATAATATTAAAAAAAAAAAAAAAAAAAGAAAATAAAAGAAAAATTTTTAAGAGGAATATTAAAGAAATAAAAATAAGTGAGGAGGACAATTTGCTGAAAATATGCCAATTAACAAGAAATAAAATTATCCTCACAATTGAACATTTTTAACATTTTACTTTAAGCTATATATATCTAATCTTAAATTTACGTAGAGTCGTAAAAATAAGCCGAGACTTTGTTTTATGTCAAAATTATCTCAATATTTTTAAATTACAATTATGTTAATTATAACAAAAAAATTTTTATTCACCCTAAAAGTTTAATATTAAATTTTAGCATTTTTAAAATTTACTTTTAAATATTTGTTTCATATATAAATAATTTTAATTGATGATATGAAATCAATGTATCAAAAAGTTTTGGTCCAGGTATCGCTAAAAAAAAAAAAATAAATAAATAAATAAATAAATATTTGAATATTAAAATAACCTACCTAAAATTGCTTCATGATCAAATTCTGAATGATGTTCTCCGTTTGCATGATGTTTCCGATCTCTTGGGCTGTAGGCACCATCTTCTTCACGTTCTCCTGAGTGTCGGACAGAATGTAAATGAGTGACCGCTGGAGTAGAGGTAGAAATTAATACAATATTTAAAAAAATTAAAACAATTAATAATGATTTTGTGAGCAAAGTTCTCATTATAAATAAATAAAAATAGGTCTAGTTTTAAAAATTATAAAATTTAAATAAAAATTCACTTTATGCCAAATACTAATAATTGTGTACATATAGTCAGTATTATAACTTAATTAAATCTCGTTATTTATAATCGAAGTCGATATATCGAAATAAACGATGCTTTAAAATGGTGGCTAAAGTTTAGTACTCCTGGAAGTAATTAAAAAAAAAATGTTATTTATAAAATTAATTGCGAAGGAAATGTAAAATATAGTTTTTATGAAAATTAAATTTTCTTTTAAATTATTAAATTTTCAGTAAGTAAGATATCAATTATTTATGTTTTAATTAATATTTTTCAAAATAGCATTAAACAAGAAATATCTTGATTATATCAAGAATAACTAATTTTGAGCATTAGATCAGTGTTTTTAAAAAAATTTATGGTTATCAGTTATTTTTATTAATTAGTTTTTAAAAAGCTGATTTTTATTTTATTAAAATGTAATGACGGATTTTTGTTTTTTTTTTTTTTCTAAATGTATTATTATACTGAAAATATCCTATATTGAATATAATTTCATAAAGTAAAATATAAAATACTAAGCAATTTTTACTGTTTTAATATCTTATAATGAATCTGAAGTAATTTTTTAATAAATAGTTTTTCTTTTGCAATTACTCTGAAAAATAAAATTAAAATTATTTTCAGTATTTATTTATACTTTTCAGAATAATGGCAATGTTGTTACAGAAGAGTGTAATCAATTTTAAGTATTCACATTATTTAATTTTAAAACTTCTAGTGTTATAGCTGTCAGAAAAAGTGAGTAGATTATTTATATGTATTGATTGTTATTTTAAATTTACTGCAATAAATTGACTATAATGATTTTATTTACAGAAATTATTTTATATTCAGTTTTATTGCAACCGCTTTGTAAATTTTAAAAATGGCTCCTCAACCAGTTCAACCAGTGCACTCTGCTTCTACTGATACTTTAACTCAAATTAATATTTATCGTCATTATGTATCAGTGTTGGCGGATACTGGAGCTAAAGAAGAATTAAAAGTAAAGGCAGCTATGGAACTTACGGATAACTTTGAAGTTATATTAACTTCTCCTCACTATCCAGCATTTTTAGAACATTCCATAAAGTTATTTCTCAAAGTTCTTCAAGAAAGTCCTCCTTTATTTGTGTCAGAATACAATTTGCAACAAGTAAGAAAACAAATATTAGAAATGATATATTTGTTACCGGCTAATGAGCAATTAAGGCCATATGTAAAACAAATATTGACATTAATGCTAAAATTGTTAGAAATTGAAAATGAGGAGAATGTATTAGTTTGCCTTAGGATAATTATTGAATTACATAAGCAATACAGGCCTCAATTTAATTCAGAAATTCAGCAATTTTTGCAGTTTGTAAAATCAATTTACAAAGATTTACCATCTCACATGAATAAAATATTTGAGCCAAAACCAATAATTAAAGTGAAAGAATTAACAGAGATTGATATTGAAAGCATGTTAGTTGACACTTATACAGTTACAGTCATTCAAACAGATAACAAAACTCCGGATGGCAGTGTAATATCTTATAATTTAATACCGAAAGGAGTGTTATCTTTAAAAGTCTTACAAGAACTACCGATTATTGTGGTTTTAATGTATCAGTTATATAAGCAAAATGTTCAGCAAGATTTAACAGATTTTATACCTTTAATAATGTCTACAATAACACTTCAGCCATCATCTCAACAACGAAATAATCCACTTTTTAATAAAGAAATATTTGTGGATTTTATGGGAGCTCAAATTAAAACTCTCTCATTTTTAGCTTACATAATTCGAGTTTTTCAAGAATTGGTGGCTCAACATTCACATTCTATGGTAAAAGGAATGTTGGGACTCCTTCAACTTTGTCCAATGGAAGTTGTACACCTCAGGAAAGAACTTTTAATTGCTGCTAGACACATTTTAGCAACTGATTTAAGATCTAAATTTGTACCTTATATGGAGCATTTATTTAATGAAGATATTTGGCTTGGTAGGGGTTGGACAACTAGAGAATCGCTAAGACCTTTAGCTTACAGTACTTTAGCTGATCTTGTTCATCATGTTCGTCAAATGCTTCAGCTCAATGATTTAGATAAAGTGATACATTTGTTTTCAAAAAATGTTCATGATGATTCTGTTCCGACTTGTATTCAAACAATGTCTTGCAAATTATTACTCAATTTGGTCGATTGCGTCAGGTGCCGCAGTGAAAACGACAACGGAAGAGGAAGAGAATTGTTAATGAGAATGCTTCAAGTTTTTGTTTTGAAATTTAAAACCATATCGAAATTACAATTACCGTTTTTAATGAATAAATGCAAGAATCAACAACAAGGTAATTCTCAATATCCAACATCTAATTCATCTCAAACTAACTCTCAATCTGGGTCGGAAGTAAAAAATGAAGATCAAAAGTTACCACTATCGGAATCTGGAGGAACGGCGGAGAAATCAAAGTTTGGTTTTCCAACATCTCAAGCTCAAAATTATTTAGTTGCCGATTGTAGAAGTCTTGTTAAAACTTTAGTTTGCGGTGTGAAAACAATAACTTGGGGAATAGCTTCTTGCAAATCAATTTCGACGGAAGGAGTCGTAGTTCCCAACAAGCAGTTTCATCCGAAAGAAACTTTGGTTTACATTAGCCTTGTAAAATGGGCCATGCAAGCGCTTGATATATATACATTAAATGTTAATCCTTCTGGTGGTACGTTTCCACATATTTCTCCGCGCGTACCATCGCCGCAGTCTGTTCGAACAAAAGAAGAGAAAGAAGTTTTAGAATATTTTGCCGGAGTTTTCTCTAGCATGGCTCCGCAAACTTTTCACGAAATATTTTCTACTACGATTGATTATTTAGTAGAAAGGATATACAGAAATTATGCTCTACAAATAGTGGGAAATTCGTTTTTAGCGAATCCTTCAACTTCTTCAATATTTGCGACAATTTTAGTGGAATACTTACTCGATAGAATGGAAGAAATGGGAAGCAATCTGGAAAAAAGTAACTTATATCTAAAATTATTTAAATTAGTTTTTGGAAGTGTTAGTTTATTTCCAACTGAGAACGAACAAATGTTAAGACCACATTTGCATCAAATCGTCAATAGATCGATGGAATTAGCAATGAGCGCCAAAGAACCTTATAATTATTTTTTGTTACTTCGAGCTTTATTTCGTTCCATTGGCGGTGGCTGTCACGATTTATTGTATCAAGAATTTTTGCCTTTACTACCGAACTTATTACAAGGACTTAATTCATTGCAAAGCGGATTGCATAAACAACACATGAAGGACTTATTTGTCGAACTTTGTTTAACAGTACCGGTACGCTTGAGCTCTTTACTGCCGTACTTACCGATGCTTATGGATCCTTTAGTGTCAGCTCTTAATGGATCTCACACTCTGATTAGTCAGGGTTTGCGAACTTTAGAACTTTGCGTCGACAACCTTCAGCCAGACTTTTTGTACGATCACATTCAACCTGTTAGAGCTGATCTTATGCAAGCTTTATGGCGAACTTTGAGAAATCCTCAAGATCAAGTTGCTCACGTAGCTTTTCGGGTGCTTGGAAAATTTGGAGGTGGAAATAGAAAAATGATGATTGAACCTCAAAAATTAGAATATAATGACGTATCAAATCAAAGACCATCAATTGTAATTTATTTTCAAGACTATGCGGATCCGATTGATTTACCAGTATCGAAAGTGATTGATACAGCCATGACTGCTCTTAAAACTAGTACAAGCGATCCGTTTTATAGAAGGCAAGCATGGGAGGTAATCAGATACTTTCTAGTGGCTTCTATTCAATTACAAGATAAAAAATCAGCACTTCAAACGTTATTTTCACATCCAAGTTTTTACGATGGTAACATTGCTTCACATCATCCGAGTCCTATTTATAAGCTTACTGATAATCACTCGCGTGACACTCATCAGGTCGCATTGACTGGAATGTTCGTCGCCGCTGCTATTAAAGAACTCAGACAGTTTGTTTTGCCCACAATGGTTGCAGTTGTGCGACATTATACTATGGTTGCCATAGGACAACAAGCTGGCCCATTTGCAATCACGGGCAGAAAATTTAAGCTTTCCGGAATGGATGCCCTTGTACTTATCGATTCTTTGGTTACAATTATGGGTCATGAAGAAAAAGAATTATGCAAACCTGGGCACTTAGCACTGGTGTTAATCTTAGAAACCGCGACGACGATTTTGGGCTCTAAAGAAAGAGCGTGTCAACTACCTTTAATGGAATATTTATCTGAAAGAATGTGTTCTTTATGTTACGAACGTGCTTGGTACGCAAAATATGGAGGATGTTTAGCCATTAAGCTTTTGTTCGAAAGAATGGCTATGAAATGGGTGTACGACCATCTATTTGTTTTTCTAAGAGCTTTATTATTTGTCATGATGGATTTAACTGGCGAAGTTTCTACTGGAGCAATCGATATGGCCAAAGCGAACTTGGAGAAATTACTAACGGTATGTGCAACGCCTATAGAAAGCAATGGCTCAAACGAAGAATTAATAAATGCCCAAAAGAAAAGTTTATACGATGTCACACACGAATTAGTACGTTTGGTAACCGGATCTAACACTTTAGTGCGCCAACAAGCAATGAATTCTTTAACATTACTTGCGAAAATCCAAAATAAAACCGTTACCGAAGTCATGGAACCTCATAGAGAAGTTTTGGCCGATATGGTACCTCCTAGAAAGCATTTATTACGTCATCACGCCGTAAATGTTCAAATCGGAATAATGGAGGGAAACACGTTTTGTACAACTCTGAACCCGAGATTATTTACAATTGATTTAAATATCATGGAACACAAAGTTTTTTTCCACGAATTGATGTCTCTTTGTGAAGCCGACGAAAATATTTTGGTGAAATATCCTTGTTACAAACCATTAACTAATTTGGTTCAACTAAGACAATGCGCACTTCGAGCTTTATCTTCTTATCATTATATTCCGAATTATCGAGAAAAAATATTTAACGTTTTGTATCGAGCTTTGGAAAAACCCGAATCTCAAAAGGTTGCTTTTGAATGCATGCAAAATTTCATCGCGGGTTCTAAAATTGACAACGAGGTTGTTCGGGGAGTCATGAGACCTTTACTTTTAACATTAGGAGATTATAGAAACTTAAATTTAAATAATACTAAGAGGTTGTATCAATTAACAAAATTATTTCCGGCTACTTTTAATGAAAAGTTTTGCGAACAACTTTTACAACATTTAAAAAAGCTACAAGAAGTAGCGGCAACAACTCTGAAAAATATATCTAAAAATGGGGAAAACGAGCAAAAAATTGCCACACTCATTAGTATATTTCATCAAATTCCGGCAGCATCGCCAAAATTTTGCGAAGGTCTCTGCCGATTAGTTTTACAAACTGAGAAGAGTTTAAGCATAGAAGCGAGTTCTCCTTTTCGGGAACCTTTGCTGAAATTTCTTTTAAAATATCCTCAAGAAACAATAAACGATTTATTTTTAAATGATAATATAAAGGATCCGCAATGGTCGAGATTTTTACAATATTTAATAAAACATAAAGAAGGAAAATCCTTTAGAGAAGTTTTACAAAACAATCCGGGAAAATTAATTAATTTAGTTACGGCCGTTTCTCAAAGGACGAACAATTGGACGACAAGTGAAAAATACGAAGTCCAGTTTCAAGGAATAAGAATAATATCATTGTTGATAAAATATGACGAACAATGGCTTTCGTGTCAACGTGAACTCGTTCAAGCATTAAAAGATCTTTGGTGTAGCGAACAGTACCACGAGCATCACCGAGAAGTGGATTCCGTTGATTTCGTTCACTGGAAAGAACCCAAACTTTTGGTTAAAATTTTATTACATTATTTTTGTCATCACCCTACCGAAGTTGATTTACTTTTTCATTTGTTGCGGGCAACTTGTGAAAGATACATTCCTGATTTTCAATTTTTGAGGGATTTTTTGGAAACGACGGTCGCTCAAAACTACACCGTCGAATGGAAACGATCTGCATTTTTCCGCTTCGTCGAAGAGTTTCAAAATCCAAACATGTCTCAAGAACTGAAATCAAAAATACTTCAGTTGGTATTGATTCCCTGTTTCGCGATTGGCTTTGAAAGAGGAGAAGGAGAAAAACTTGTGGGAAGTCCAGTGTCTCCAGATCAAGACAATCCAGATAATATTGTATCCGTATTTATAAACAAAGTGATTGATCCTGAAAACCCTTTTGGAAACACCGATGCCGTACGTATTCTTTTACTTCAGTTTTCTTGTCTCCTGGTAGAACAAGCTTCGCCTCACATACATAATGTATTGAACAAAAGACAAGGACAAAAATTAAGGCGTTTAATGACGTTTGCCTGGCCTTGCTTATTGGGTAAAAATTGCGTAGATCCTTCGACAAGGTATCACGGGCATTTGCTTCTCTCTCATATAATTGCCAAATTTGCTATTCATAAGAGAATCGTGTTGCAAGTATTTCACAGTCTTTTAAAAGCCCACGCAATGGAAGCACGAGCCGTTGTTAGACAAGCATTAGAAATTTTAACCCCTGCCATGCCACACCGAATGGAGGATGGAAACACCATGTTGACTCATTGGACTAAAAAAATTATAGTGGAAGAAGGTCACAATATGCAACAATTATTTCACATTTTGCAGCTTGTTGTGAAGCATTATAAAGTTTACTATCCCGTAAGACACCATCTATTGCAACACATGATACAATCTATTCAAAAAATGGGATTTAATCCAGCTGCAACCATCGATCAGAAAAAGCTTGCCGTCGAATTAGCAGAAGTTATAATCAAGTGGGAATTGGAAAGAATCAAAGATGAAAGTGAAGGCCAAGAAATTACGACGAACCCTTCTACGGGAGCCGTGAAAAAAACCTGTCCGGATGATAATCAAGAACAGCACAGAAAGCGACTGGCTACGGGAAACGTCACCCCGACTCATTTTGCGACGTTTGTTCCAAAAGTAGATCCCAGCAGTTCGAAACCAATAGAAAAGCATCACGCAGATGCAATTTTAAATTTTTTACTAAGATTAGCTTGTCAAGTCAATGATCAAAGTTCGGCCGTAGGGTCTCAGGGAGAATTGCTGTCTAGGAGATGCGTGGCACTTTTGAAAATGGCCATGAAACCGGATTTATGGCCTCAACCGTGGGACCTCAAACTGGCTTGGCTAGATAAAATTTTCATAAATATTGAATCTCAAAATCCAAATTACGGAAATATTTGCACGGCGCTAGAGTTGCTAACGTTTCTTTTAGGAGTTATGAAAAAAGAACAAATATTGGCGAGCATAAAACCTTTACAAAAAGGTTTAGCCGTGTGTGTTACATCTCCCAGTTCAAAAGTCATACGTTTGGTACACGCCTTTTTAGCGAAATTAATGTTAATTTTTCCTACCGAGCCCCCCGCATCAACTGTCGCATCTAAATATGAAGAACTTGAGTGTTTGTATGCTTGCATAGGAAAATTTGTTTTTGAGGGATTGGCCAATTATGAAAAAAGTCCTAGTGCGAGTCCTAGTACGCTTTTTGGGACGTTAATGATTCTAAAAGCGGCTTGCGTGAGTAATCCCGCTTATATAGATCGACTAATAACTCCTTTTATGAGAGTTTTACAAAGAATGCATAAGGAACATATTCAAGCAACTGATTCGAATCCCGTCGCTACAGAATTGTTAATTGTAAGTTTGGATTTAGTAAAAAACCGCTTGGGCGGAATGGGTAGCGACATGAGAAAAGGATTTATCGGAACCGTTTTAGTTAAACTTATCGAAGGTACAAGAGATGTTAAAGTGATGAAAGCAATTACCAAAATGTTAGACGAATGGATCAAGAACCAACCCTCCACTGCGATTAATACGCAAAACGTTCGAGAATCGAGTCCGTTTCCGGTTCTCAGGGAAAAATCAATTTTACTCGTCAAATTGATGACTTACGTAGAAAGAAATTTTCCAGATGATGCCGAATTGAACGCTCAGTTCTTGGAAATTGTCAATTACGTCTACAGGGATCCCGTTCTTAAAGAATCAGAATTGAGTACAAAATTGGAACCGGCATTTTTACAGGGTTTACGTTGCGTTCAACCACAAATCCGAGCTAAATTTTTTGAAATATTTGACAACTCAATGAAAAGAAGACTTTACGACCGGTTGCTTTACTTGGTGTGTTCTCAAAATTGGGAAGCCATCGGTCCTCATTATTGGATAAAACAATGTATAGAATTAATATTTGTCACCGCGGTACCAACGACTCAAATTCAATTGTCGTCTGCCAAATCTCTTCTACCCAGTATTACCTCCATAATTGAACTCGGTGATGCTAGTGATAAAAAAATTTACGACGTGTATGCCAGTATGAAAAGTGAACTCAGCGAGGCTACAGAAAGTCCAGAATCGCATGAAAATAATGATGATTTGGACATGGAATTTAACGGTACCAGCGGTGAAACATCCACTAAAAAGGAAGAAACTCCTCAGTCAAACAGAAAAGCCGCCCTCATGCAACTTATCGCGAGGCAATCAAAATTTTTAGACACAGTAAGAGAAATTAAAACATTTCATTTTTTATTAGCGACAGCACAGTTATGTCACATGGACACGAATTTAGCAGAACGGGTTTGGTTGGATGTTTTTCCTAGAATCTGGTCGATGTTAAGCGAACGGCAAAGAAGTACGCTGCAAAGTGAAATAGTTCCTTTTATATGTAGTGGAGCTCACGAAATACAAAAAGACTGTCAACCCAGTGCTCTAAATACATTTATAGAAGCTTTGTCAAGATGTAATCCTCCGATTCCGATTCGTCCCTCTCTTATGAAATATTTAGGAAAATCTCACAATTTATGGCATAGAATGACTCTTAATTTGGAACAATTGGCATTGGAGCAAGGAAATGTTGAAGTCATGCGTTCGCGTAATGTTGATTGTTACGATTTTGAGCCCATTTCTTCTCCTCAGCAAGAGGTTTTAGATAGTTTATCCGAAATGTATTCTTGTTTATGCGAACAAGATATGTGGGCTGGATTGTGGCAAAAACATGCGCGATATTGTCAAACGAACATAGCAATAGCATCGGAGCAACAAGGTTTTTTTGAAAACGCTCAATCAACTTATGAAATGGTCATGGCTAATTCGAGAGAAGATTTTAGTTCAACTCCAGCTCCCAGCAGTCTTAGAAGTGAATATGCATTATGGGAAAAACATTGGATTAGATGTTCAAAAGAACTCAATCAATGGGACATATTGTTGGAATACGGAAATAGCAGAGGTTCTATTAATCCGTTTTTAGTTCTTGAAAGCTCTTGGAGAATTCCAAATTGGAATCTAATGAAAGATGCTCTAATTCAAGTGGAGCAAATTTGTCCCAAAGAATTAGTTTGGAAAGTGGAACTTTACAAAGGATTTTTAAATATATGCAGTCCTGACGATGCTCAACACGGTCAAGCAAATATAGAAAAGTGTGTAGAAAAAGCAAGTGCCAGTTGCATGAGGGAATGGAGAAGATTACCTCACATAGTGTCTCACATTCATTTACCTCTTTTGCAAGCTGCTCAGCAAATTATGGAACTGCAAGAAGCAGCTCAAATTCATCAGGGTTTGACTCACAGTCGGTCGAGTGGAAGTTCTTTACACGATATGAAGGCCATCGTGAAAACTTGGAGAAATCGTTTGCCTGTTATAGCTGATGATCTGAGTCATTGGAGTGATATATTTACTTGGCGCCAGCATCACTATCAGTTCATAGCATCACATTACGATTCTCAACACGACCAATCGGTCAATCACAGCATGTTAGGCGTGCACGCGTCTGCTCAAGCAATTATTCATTTTGGTAAAATAGCAAGAAAGCATAACTTAACCGGAGTATGCCTCGGATCGTTGTCTCGCATATACACTATTCCAAGCGTACCTATAGTAGATTGCTTTCAAAAAATAAGACAACAAGTGAAATGTTATCTTCAAATGTCTACCGTATCCGGCAAAAATGAGCTTCAGCAAGGATTAGAAGTCATTGAATCAACAAATTTAAAGTATTTCACGAAGGAAATGACGGCAGAATTTTATGCTTTGAAAGGAATGCTTTTAGCTCAAATAGGGCGTTCCGATGATGCTAACAAAGCTTTTTCTGCTGCCGTACAGATGCATGACACTCTAGTAAAAGCTTGGGCTTTATGGGGAGACTATTTAGAACAAATATTTACGAATGACTTTTCCAACATCAGTTACGGCGTGCAAGCCATTACTTGTTTTTTACATGCTTGTAGACATCAAAACGAATCAAAGTCTAGAAAATATCTTGCAAAAGTTCTTTGGCTTTTAACTTACGACGACGAAGAATTTTCTTTGGTTCAAGCTCTGGACAAATACTCGGTTGGAGTTCCTCCGATTCAGTGGTTACCCTGGATACCACAATTACTAACTTGTTTAGTTAGAGAAGAAGGAAAGTTAATACTTAATTTGATCAGTCAAGTTGGCAGAATATTTCCTCAAGCAGTATATTTCCCTTTGAGAACTTTATATTTAACATTAAAAATTGAGCAGAGGGAACGTTATAAGACGGCAGAATTGGCAAACACCACGAATGCCAGCGCTCAAGAAAACACAAATAATATAGATGGCAGTAAAACAAATACCGATCAAACAAATCAGAAAACAACCGAAGGTCAACAGGCAACCACGCAAGGACAATCAACCGAAACGAATCCTATTCGTGCCACTCCTTCAATGTGGAGATGCTCCAGAATCATGCACATGCAGCGCGACGTCCATCCTACCGTTTTATCTTGCCTAGAAGGAATGGTAGATCAGATGGTTTGGTTTCGCGAAAATTGGTACGAAGAAGTATTAAGACAGTCGAAGCAAGGATTGGCAAAATGCTATGCTATTGCTTTTGAAAAGCGAGGATGCGTAGCCGAAGCTACCATTACTCCTCACACGTTAAATTTTGTTAAAAAACTGGTGTCTACGTTTGGCATTGGTATAGAAAATATAAACAGTTCCGTAAATTTCACATCGAGTTCCGCTGCATCTGAAAGTCTGGCTAGAAGAGCTCAGGTAACGATTCAAGATCCCGTTTTTCAACGTATGAAATGTCAATTTACGACAGATTTTGATTTTACATTACCTGGTGCTACGAAATTACAAAATTTAATTGAGAAATTAAAAAAATGGATTGCAGTCTTACAGACGAAAACGAAAATGCTTCCAAAATCAATTTTGATCGAAGAAAAATGTAGGTTTTTATGTAATTTTAATCAGCAAACGGCCGAAATTGAATTGCCCGGTGAATTTCTTTTGCCCAAACATTCTCATTATTTCGTTAAAATATCCCGATTCATGCCCAGAGTGGACATAGTTCAAAAGCACAACACGGCAGCCAGACGATTATACATAAGAGGTCACAACGGTAAAGTTTATCCTTACTTGGTCGTCAACGATTCTTACATCGGAGATGCAAGAAGAGAAGAAAGAGTTTTGCAACTCTTACGAATGCTCAATCATTATTTGGGTAAACAAAAAGAAACGAGCAGCAGATTCCTTCACATAACGGTACCCAGAGTGGTGGCGGTATCACCCCAAATGAGATTGGTCGAAGATAATCCTGCGTCCATTTCGTTACACGACATATATAAAGAAAATTGTGCCAAGAGAGCCATCGACCACGACGCTCCGATAGCTCGCTATTACGAAAGACTTCAAAATGTACAAACGGCCGGCGTGCAACCGGGTCATCACATCTTAAAAGAGATATTCAAAGAAGTACAAAGAAACATGGTTCCGAAACACATGCTCAAGGATTGGGCTTTGCAAACGTTTTCATCGACGACCGATTATTGGACATTTAGAAAAATGTTCATGTTGCAACTCTCACTTGCTTGTTTCGTCGAGTACATATTTCATTTGACAAGGTTAAATCCGAACATGATGTACATTCACAAGGATTCGGGTCTCGTAAACGTTTCTTATTTTAAATTTAACATTGACAACGCATCCACCGATTTGGATCCCAATCATCCGGTACCGTTTCGATTGACTCCGAATTTAACGGAATTGATAAGCACGATAGGGGTCAAGGGTCCTCTGACGGCTTGCGGAATCGCTTGCGCTCGATGTTTGGTTCAACCGAGTTTTAAAGTGAAAACGATTTTACGAGCAATTTTACGAGACGAAATGATATACAAGCAAAAAACGCAGGGAGACAGACCACAGGAAAATGTTTCTCTTCCCGCACCGGATGTTGAAGGGAAAATAATTATCGACAACGTGACGAGATCCGTGAGTTTAATATTTTCAAGGTTGAATAATTTGGCAAAATTTGAAGGTACGGAAAGTAAAATGGGAGCGTTGGTAGCCGTTAGTACGAACGAAGACAATCTTTGCAGAACGGATCCAGCTTGGCATCCTTGGTTGTAATTTATTTTGATTTAATCAATCCTCGATGGACTTTCTCCCTCCCCTCCCACTCCCCCGCTTTTTTATCAATAGTAAATAATAAAAAATTTTTATCTGATAGACCGAGATGATTTTGTCTCTCCATTTCAATATTTTTCTCTATAAACAGTGTACAGACTCTCAGGGTTAAAAAAAAAAAAAAAAAAAATTGATGATAGTTTTAAATGTGTTTTTGTTTGTTTGTTTGACATAAAATAAAACTATTTAAGACATTTATTTAACTAATTATTAGTTTTTACTCAAAATAATGTGTAAAACTTTTCTCTTTGTGACAAACAAACAATCGTATGAAATATATAATAATAAGTGAAAATGATGAATAATAATCTTAATAAAAAAATAATAATAATAATTTTTTTTTTTTTAATTTCTAATTATTATTATTATTAGTATTATAAAAAAATTTTAGTTTAAATAAATTTTTTTTAAAAAATCTATTTTTTGTGTATATTATTTTTAATTTTATTTTTTTTTTTTTTTTTTTTTTTTCATATAATTTCCTAAACCCTGAATAAAAAACTTACCCGACAAAAGTAGATTTAAATTATTATTATTATTATTATTAACGAATAATTTAAATGATTTTTTAATTTTTTGATCGGATAAAATAAAATAAAAAATATTTTTTGAAAAAAAAAAAAGAGAAGAAACGTTTTAATTTTTAAATTTATTTATTTATGAAATAGATAAAAACCAATTTTATTTTTCGTCCATTTCCTCCTCTTCCATTTCCGAGTATTCGTCCCAATCATCATCGGAACCCGTCAACGATCCTTCAGACATTTTTTCTAAATCTCCATCGTCAGATGATTCTTCCTGATAAGTAAATAAAGGTTCCATCGAACTTTCGACCGTTTCGTCTAAATTGTGACCCAATTGCTCGGTTATTAATGATAATCGTCCTTTTAATTTAAGCAAAGGAGTCAACACGGAAACTCTTGCATCGATCGACGCCAATAAAGGTTCGAATATTTCCGAGAGTTCCGAATTTGACAAAAGTATTCCAGAATGCGTACGCACGATGGAATGTAACCAATCTACGGCGCTTTTATTTGTAAAAGTTTTCCCGTGCATTAAACCGCTGAGTTCTCGTATTAGCGGAACCAAAGCTTGAACGGGTAAATGTTTTACCGTGACATCGATGACCGACGGCTCTGCTTGAATGAGAATGCTTTGCAATATGTTTTTATCTTTGCTTTGAAGGCCTTGCAACAATAATTGTGCCGTGTTATCCTTTTTCGGAGGTTCGTTCGACTGCGGATTGACGAGTGCTAAATTTTCAAGCCTTTCCTCAAGCGGTGCTTCGTTCTTTTTTTTATTTCCCCTTTTTTGAGCTAAATTTGCAGATTGATATTCCACGTCGTTGCCACTCACTGGAACTTTTGCCTTGCTGTTAAATTCATTTACAACCTTTTTCCTTTTACCCTCCCTGACGAGAACAACATTTTCCTGATCGTATTCACTTATTGTCTGAAATTTAACAAAGAAAAATTTATTAATTATTAATTTAAAGTAATAAAATAAATAAAAAAAAAAAAAATTTTTTAAAGATAATAATACTCACAATTACTTCGAAAAACAAAAATGCTAGATTACCATAGGCGACAAGTATTTTATCATTTGATATAGGATATATTGCATATATTGGAATTGGATTACTAAATTTTGATTCTTTATTATCCGATGCTAATGAAATTGTCATAACTGGTTTTAAAGGCTTGCTTAAATTCCTATTAAAAAAAAATTAATTAAATAATTATTAATTTTTTACTTATTTACATATTATATAGTAATTATTGATTATATAAAAAATTGAAAAAAATTCTTACCCGTTAAATTTGTGCCTAAATATTTGAAGGACTCCTTCTTCTGTTAGAGCGAATAATGTTGTCGGTGTTTCCATTTCAACATTTATCATTTGCATTGAAAGAGCTGCATTTTGAAGAATTAAAGATGCTATTGAATTAGATTTTTTATCCGTCGAGTTCAATGACCTAAATTAATAATAATAATAATTTAAATTAATTAATTTATTTAAAAAAAAAAAAAAAAAAGTTTTTAATTAAAAAACATTATTCGTAAACATTCGAAATACAATATTATTAATTTTTTCGATATCGATATAAAATAATAAATAAAAATTTTGAAAATTGAAGACAAATTTTTTTTTTTTTTTTTTTTACTTACCAAACACTTAAAACTCTATCACCCTTGGCAGCACTAACAAAATATCCATCCTTATTAGGCACTTCTACTAATGAAATAACTTCCGTACCATGTCCGACAAAAACTTTAGTAACTTCTTTTTTTTCCAAATCCCATAATTTAATAGTAAAACTAGCAGTTAATAAATTTTTACCATTACTTAATGCCAATATACAATGAGTGTTTTCTTTGTTTATTTTCCATTTGCTAAAATAAATGATTGGTTTACAAAAAAAAAGAAATCGCTGTGAAAAAGAGAGTCAAAATTGAAATTTTTTTATTTTACAAAAAAAGAAAATTGCATACCTTTTGATTTTGTGTTGAAATAAATCCCATTCGATAATGTGTTTGTCACTTGAACAACTGAATAAAGATGTTGTACCATTTGCCCATGATAAACTATTTACTTTTCCTGAATGTCCCTCTAATTCTGCTATCGTTGAATTTGTGGCAACATCATGCAATGAAATACTACCTAATGAAGAACCTACGGCAATTACGTCCAAACTTTCCTCAATGTTGTGTTCTACAGATTTTAATTTTTTACGTTTATGTCCACTCTAAAAAAGAAAAAAACAAAATATCAAGACCCCCCCCTCAATTAGAGCAAATAAAAATATTTATATAAAATTTATAACCAAAAATGGCTTCTCTTGTTTGTTTTAATTAACTCTTTTTTTTTTCATTTTTATTTAAAAAATCTTAAATTTTATAAATTAACTTTGGCATATAATGTTATGTATTTGTATTTATTAATAGTAAAACAAATAAATATATTTCGATTCACAAAAGAATAAAATTTTTTTAAATAAAAGCAATAAATCACAGACCACCCCAACAACGAAAAACACAAATGATAATACCGGTAGTGATTTCAATTATTATAATTTTTTTTTTTATATAAAACTTTTAAATCTATTTTACTTTTCTCGTGTTAAACTATAATTGTAAACTAATACCACGGTTTTTAAGGTAAATACGGATAAATAAATAGTAATCAAGTTTGTTTTTATTAAAGTTAAACACATGGCATCACTTACATGTTTTGTTACTTGTATCCATATTAAACACGTACAACAGGAATTAAGATGAGATGTTCTCACACATTCTTGTTTTAATATATTATTTGAAGTGTCCCATATTTTTAATTTACCGTCACTGGAGCACAAAGAATATAATGATCCAGAGTTATTGAAAGTATTAGGAAAATCCCCAATATCTCCCATTTTAACAAAACGTGCATAACATTTTCTCTAAAGTGTAGCAGTGGTGCCAACAAAAATTAATACAACATCAAATATTTATCGTAATTATTCTCCACATGTGTAAATCATGTTTTACGATTTAAATATTCAAAGACCTGATACAAATGAAGAGGATAATTTAAAATTAATTATTTCACGAGGAGTTAAATGTAATTTTTTGTACAAAACAATTACGTTAAATTTTTAGATACTTACTTTTATTAGAAGCAGTAAAAAAAAAAAAAAGAAAAAAAAAGTTGTTGGCTCTTAGATTATTTGATTTTTTGAATTCAAAATCAGAAATATATTTATATTAAAAATGTGATTTATTTTATCTTACATTACACTTTTTTTTTCCAGTTGGGTACAAAGGTTTTGCTGTAACAACAAATTTAGATGAAAGCATTTTTGAGAAAAACAAAAAAGAAAAATCAAAAAAAAGTAATTCAAATGAAACATCGAGTGTCATACCTCTTCCACTTGATTTAAAAGTTTTTAAAACATTATATCCTAATTTATATTTTTTTAATAGAATTAATATTAGAATTAGTCAAGGTTCCAATTTAAGAAAATTTACTCAATGTAAAAACCTTAAAAAGTATGAATTAGTTTCATTTCAACCGGAAAACCAAGATGTTTTAAAAGCGCTAACAGGAATACCTGCCATTAACATATTATCATTTGATCCTATAAATAAATGGGATTTTACATTTAACAGAAAACTTTATAATCAATTTGTGAATCAAAATGTTTATTTTGAATTAATGTACAGCCCTGGCATAATTGATTCTTCAGCTAGAAAAAATTTATTTACAGTTTCTCACATGTACAGAGCTGTGGGAAAATCGAAAAATATAATTGTTACTAGTGGAGCATCTGCTCCACATCATATAAGAAGTCCTTACGATGTAATTAATTTGTATCCTTTTATATAAAAATACTTACTTTTATTTATCTTATTGAAAATTTTCTTAATTAATTTATCAGTAATTTATTATTTGGTTTAAATATTCAACAATGTAAAGCATCAATATCGAAAAATTGTAATGAAATCCTATTAAAAGCCAGTAAGCTATTTATTTTTAAAACAATTTTAATATTGAAAATTTTTTAACAAAAACTTTAACAAAATATTGTCATTATATTTTTAATAATAGATTTTTGACTTTACAATTCATTTATTTTTCAGAAGGTGAAAGATTCAGCAAAGCAGCAATAGAAATGACAAAATTAGACAATCCTATGACGGAAGATATTGTTATCCAAGAATGAATATAATTTTTTAAAATGTGAAAATATAACATTTTTCATTAAAATTATATCTAAATGTAAAAAAATTTTTGTTTTTGTACAACAAATTTTAAAAATATATTATATTCCTAAATACACAATACATATTGATAAAAAATTATTTTCCTAATAAATTAATTATTTTCCTTTTTAATTTTGAGGTTAAAATTTACTCGATAAAATTTTTGTTAATTTAATATGTGAATATAACAACTTAGCTGTTACATTATAATATATTTTACATTATTTATATTTCATTATAAATATTTTAGTTGATATTAAAAAAAAAAAAAAAAACAAATAAATAGAGGCAAAACAAAAAAATAATCACTACAAAAAGGGATTTTTAAAATCATAACAAATTTTAAATAATTATTGAAAGTATGTCATAGCAAATATTAACCGTTAAGAAAAAAAAAAAATTATTTAATTTTTAACTGGATTAATTGAAATTCATCGGGAAAAAACATTAACAAAAGAAAAATTTCAAAAAAAATTTTCCAATACACCAGACATGAACTTAACCAGTGTCAAATATTCACTGAATTTTTCTATTTTAAATGAACTCCGCCATTTTGATTAAATAATTACCTTTTCCGCGTCAATTTATTACAGTTAAGCCTTTGTTTTCCTTTCATAAAAAAAAAAAAAAAAAAAAAAAAAATTTATCCGTTGAATTTATTTATTTTGAAAAAAAAAAAAAAAAAAAAAAACCCCGCAAAACTATTACTACTGAAGAAGAAGAAGAAGAAAAAAGAAAATTACTTTAATCGTTTTTTATTTTATATAAATATTTGAAAAAAAACCGTTGAATTTATCATCCTTTTCGACATTAAACAGTGAGTACCAAATAAATATTAATTACAATTAATAATGACGCCATTTAATTAATAATAAAGTTATATAAAAAATTGGTTACAACAAAAAAAAATTAAAAATATTATTTGCAATTTATTAATGGGTTAATAAATCACAAATAAATAATGTTATTTAATAATTTAAATTTATTTTTTATCAATTTTTATATATATATTGTTTTATAAAAGGTCAAAAATGATTTTCTTCCTTAAATGATTGAATCATTTAAATTTTGAATGAAAACTTATTTATAAACTTATTTTTTGGGGAAAATAAAAATTTTAACCTCCTACTCATTATAAAATACAAAATTTGAAATATTATAATTTATATTAAAAGAAAATTTTTTTATGTACATATATATATATAAATATATTTATTTATTTTTTTACCACCATTCTTAATAGAAAAAAAAAATGAAGAAGATTTTTGTCTGCAAAGTATTCATTCTTAATATTCTTAAAGATGTTAATTATTGTAATACATATTATTATTATTATTATTACTATTACTTTGACCTAATTTACATATATTTATATATTATAAATATGTTAAAAAGAGAGAGAGAGAAAAAAAACTTTTAATGTCAGTAGTTTTAATTAGTTTGTAAGAAAAATGAATTGAATTTAAAAGATAGAAAACATAAGAAAACGTGATGATGATGGACAAAGGAAGAAAAAGGAAAAAACCTTAAAGAAAAAAAAAAAAAAGAAAATTTTTTTTTTATTTCTTGGATTATATAATATAATTGGTAAATAACGGAAGTAAAAGAAATATATATAGGAAATAAAAAGAAAAGGGAATTACCGGGATAAGAGAGAGAGAGAGAGAGAAAAAAGAAAGAGAGAGAGAGAGTAAAATAATGTGTAGATGCGGATGGATGGAACTCCCGCCCAGAAATATCTCTCTCATATCATCAAGTAAAACCGTCAGCGGCCAGGGCCACTGCGGCGGCCTGCTCCGTTAGCAGTGACGTCACTTCTTTCTTCCTTTCTTTTTTTTCTTCGTTTGTCGATCCCAGCAAAGACCCAGCAGTCGCCTCAACAACGCGGTGAGCTGTCGACCGATCGACCACTCATGAGGAAGCATTGGTTGTTGTTGTTGTTGTTGTTGTTGTTGCAACCTTGAACGCGTTACTACACTTTGCGTTATCTGTTCTTAATGTGTGTTGTTGTGTAGTGTGTGGCATTATCGACTTTTATCAACATTTTTTTTTTTTTTTTTTTCTTCAGATTATTTTCTTTTTTTTTTTTTTTTTTCAATTTGCAGTTCTTCTTTTGTGTTTTCTTAGGCAAAACGCGTGAAAAGTTTTAATTTTTTTTCATGTTATTATTTATTTGTTGTTATTGTTATTATTATTATTATTATTTAACATTTGTTAAAGTTGATAAAAGAGGTTATTAGTTGGAAAAAAAAAAAAAAAAATTATCTCATCATTAACTTTTGTGATTTAAATATTTATGGATAGGTAGGTAGGTAAGGTGTTTAAAGATTTTACTTCTTTTTTTTTTGAAAACATTTATCATTTTTTTTTTTTTAGTATTTGTCAACTTGTCGAGTAGTTTACCTTTTTTTTTTTTTTTTTCGCATTAAGGAATTTTTCCTTCTTGTAAATGTTTTGATATGTGAAATAACATTAAGAAAACTCACGCGTATTTAAATGCGACGTTCGGGCCGTCGAGGAGGAGTTTCGAGGTCATATAATCTTTTTCTTATAATAGATCTAGTTCTTTATAAAACTTCGGATGCGCATGTGTGTTCACAATGTTGGTTCATCATCATCATTTGTTTTTCTTTATGGTGTGTGTGTGTTTGTGTCACTTATCCTTTCCATTTGTTTTTACATTTACCAAATATTTTAATAACAAGGTGCACACATTTATAATGTCTTTGATCAAAAACAAAATGTCCAATAATAACTCACAGACACAATTCGACAGTTAGTTTTTACTGTGGTACGTAGGATTCGTTATGAGTGTGTGTGTGTGTGTGTGTGCGTGTGCGTGTGACACACAATATATTTGGTTTGCTATTGCATCAATACCAATACATCATATTCCACACCTTTACCTCAAGGTCATGCTGTGTGTCGTCTTTTTTTTTAAAAAAAAAATAAGAAACTATTTATTACGTGTGTGAATTTAAATACAATCTTAATCTTGGTTATGTTAATTGACAAAAAAAAGGTTTTCGAATTTTTTTTTTTTTTTACTTGCTTTAATTCACAAAAGAGTTTCTCTCTCTCTCTCTCTCTCTCTCTCTCTCTTAAGGACACGGGAAAAAAACCTTTCTTTAATAATCTTCTTCTTCTTCTTGGGAAACGTGACGTCATAATCGTTTTAACATTGGTTTAATTTATTTAAACAAATTTTCCTTTCTTCTTCTTTTTAAAAATTTAAAGGTTTTATAGGTTCTTTTCGATGTTTCGAGGGGTGGGGTGGGGAGGAGGGGGGAGGCGAAAAATTATTTCATTATTATAGGTTCAAATATAATAAATTAACGTTTTAGAAAGAAAGAAAAAGAAAAAGAAATCATGGTTCATAGTTCAATTTACAACCGAAAGAATCAATTTTCGTTTTTTTTTTTTTTTTTTATTATTGATGTAATTTGCTGTATCGACTGAAAACTAAAACTCGTTGAGATTTAAAAGGAAATTCATTGAAGAAGTGGAAAAAAAAAAAAAATCTAGACGATTTTGCTTTGTTCACAATTTTTCACATCATTTTTTCCCCCCTCTCACTCCGCCCTCTCCCCCCCCCCAATTTCGCGCCTCTAAATATATATGTACGTGTAGTATAGAAATAAAAAAAATAGAAAAAAAAAAAAAAAATTATTTATTTACCTTTTCGATCTTTTGCTGTCGGAAAAGGTTTAATGGAAAATTATGACGATTGACGATACGATTCGTTGGAATAACGACGAAAGAGTAAAAAGGTTCGAAAGAGAAAAAAAAAAAAAGAAAAAGATTTGATTGATTGAATATTTTACATCTCTCTCTCTTTCATCATAACGTTAAATAAGTAAAATAATAATAATAATAATAATAATAATAATAATAATAATAAAGATCCTTTTTGAACTTGTTGAATTCTTCGATTTGTAAATTTTTTTATTTTTTTTTTTTTTAAATAAACATTTTCGATAATGTCATCACACACGCGAATTAACGTCATCTAACAGTTTTTAAAAGGAGACATTATTATTATTATTATTAGTAGTAGTAGTGGTGGTGGTGGTGGTGGTGGTGATGATAGTGATGGTATTTTTGTATTTAAGGCCCGGCTTGTTTTTATCTTTTTTTTCCTAGTTTAATTTACAAAAGGTTCGGTTTCCTATTGTTAAAAACCGACGATAATTGAATTGAAAATAAAAGTTTTATTTTTCAAAAAGAAAGAAAGAGAGAAAGAAAGAAAGAAAGAAGGTTTCTCTCTCTCTCTCTCTGATAAATTTTTAATAACAATTGATGATAATAAATTTTTTTTTTTTTTTCAATAACGTATAAATTCTTTTTTAGTATCTAAGGGATTTTAGATTAACATCTAATCAACGCCACCATTATTACTATTATTATTATTATTATTATTATTAGGAGTAATGTTGGATTTTATTACATTCGAATTTAATTTTTTTTGGGGGGAGGGAGGGGGAGGGTGAAGGCGAGGTATAATAGGTAGAGATATCGTGTGAAAAAAAAAAAAAAAAAAAAAGATGGTGGTGGCATCATTCATGAGATGAGATGAGATATTTTCCAAGTAATCGATTGGCGACCAAAATGTTAGTTTTCTGTATGGTCACCGTCGTCATTGATGGTACAAAAACACGCAAGCGTCAAAATTTAACCCCGTAGGAAAAATGTTTTGGATGACAAGAATGAAAACTAGGAAGAAAAATATCAAATCCGTGAAGAATAGTTTTCATAGAGAGCCTGATGTCACACACGCACACACGCACACACGCACACACACACGCACTTTTTTAGACTAAAAATTCATTTAAAAAAAAATCCTTGAGTGAAGAATAAAAAATTTAAATAACACGGGTGTTGTTGCATTTAAAAAGAATTTTCTCTCTCTCTCTCTCTCTCTCAAAACGTTTAAATAAAAAAAAATAATTTTGAAAATAAATTAAAATTATTATTGACATAGAGTAGTAGTAGCAGTAGTAATAGTAATAATAATAATAATTTAATTTAATTTCAAACAAAAAAAAACAACAAAAGGGTTATTTATGAATTAAAGTTATAGTTTTTTTTGTTATTATTGGTTCATACATAATTCATGGGAAAATTCATAATTTTTTGTTTGTTTGTTTGTTTGTTTGTTTTCGTTGATAACACCTTAAGGAGGGAAATTATTCTTTTTGAATAAAGATATACAACCATCAATTACTACGACCACTACCACCACCAAACTTTCGAGTATTTTTCAGATAAAATAGTTTGTATATATATAAATTTTTTTAATTTCGTTTTTGCGAGTGTTAAAAAAAAAATAATAATAATAATAATTTGTTATCAAAACCCTTAATTTTTAAAGATAATGGATAAATCGAATGAAAAAATTTTTTTTCTACATTAACATTATCAAAGCGCTCCGTGTCGAAAGTAGAAAATTTGAGAAAATTTGGAAAATTTTTTTCCATCGGGGAAAATTTTTTTTTTTGAATACGCAAGTCTACATTCTACACGTCTTGGTCGACGACTCCTGCTGTAACGTTTTGATTCCCTTAAATTTTCGCGTTATAGAATATCTCATCTTATGTTTTTGTTTAATTTAAAATACATTTTCGTTTTGAGCGCGTTTCCAAGGTTTTTCCAGTTTTTATATAATAAACCTTTTTGTCTCGAAAGGATTTGTAATGTGAACGAACGATTCGAAAGGGTTTATAAAGAGTAATTCACGTTTGTACGTACACGTTTAAATTCATTTTCTGCATGTTAAATAAAAAAAATTATCACTCGTTTTATATTATTATTATTATTATTATTATTATTATTATTATTTGGTGGTAATATTAAAATATTAGTCTCTGTATTATTATTATTATTATTATTATTATTATTACGGGTTTAAAAGGATTTAATTTTTCTTATTAATTTTTTTCCAGAAAACTTTCTCAGATTTTATATTAATGGCTCATCGGTCCAGCGAAATTGATTTTGAGCGCAGCGCCAACACCAGTTCTTCAGCGCCAATCGAAGAAGATGTACAACAGAAAGAAATTTATTCGATTGGTAAAAATGTCGGCGGCCATGATGTGGAAAAAACTAGGATAAATAACGAGGATGGAAATGGGAATAACGAAAACATGACCGGAGATGTCGCGACTTACGAAAACGGAGAGGAAGATGGAGGAGTTTTACCACAATGCAAAATAAAAAGAAATTATTCGTGCAATCTTTGCCCTTTTTTCTCGCAAAATCCGAGATCGTTTTTATATCACTCGAGAGATGTACATTTCGATCGTATAAAAATATTCGAATGTTCGCAATGTTTATACGCGTCGAAACACAGTCAGAAATTACAGAGACACATCAACATGATACACGTAGCCGGTAAAAACAGGTTGAAAAGAACTCCGAAAACATTTAAAATTGAAAGGAAAAAAGAATTTAGACCGATAAAACCGAAACCGGTGGTGGAGACGCTCGCGGAACAAATTCTGACAAATAATTCCGATGAAAAAATTTCTACGGATTCCCCTACTCCGACTTGTTCTCCTCCCGAAGATTTGATGAAAATCGAAACGGGTAATTGTTCGGAAGCGGATCGGGAAGAAGAATCCGTCGATGGCGACGGATTCAAGTGTACAATTTGTAATTTCAAAAGTAAAAATGAAAAATTGTTGAGGAGGCACGAAAAATTGGTTCATTTGAAGAAAAGGTTTCTCCGGTGCAGCAAGTGCGCTTACGTGACTCACGTCAAAGCGAGATACACAAAACATGTGAAATATCATTCCATGCCGATGATTAAATGTGATTTGTGCGATTTTCGTACCCCTTATAAATGGAATTTAGATCGCCATTATAAAAATCATTGCGGATCGGGTGCTTTCCAATGTTCGAAATGTAACTTTAGAGCGGATATAAAGCAAAGTTTGACAGTTCACGAAATGAATCATCACGTTCCTCCAGTCGGTCAAGGAGCAATAATGGCCCGGAAAAAAAATAAAGTCAAATCAAACGATCATTCCGTTTTTGACGTCACTGAGTGTGACGTCATTGACGCGAAAAACGAAACAAACGTGTTAAATATGAAAAAAGAAATTTCCGAGTCTGAGGAAAATGTCGAGGTGAGTTAATTTCAATTTTTTTTTAAATTCCGGGATGATACGCCATGATAATTTTCTTTCACCTTGCAACCTTTTTTTTTTTTTTTGTGTTACGGTAAATATTTGTAAATTATTTTAATAAAAATTATTATTATTATTATTAACATCATCCAGTAGTTTTTTCTCGATCATCCCACAAAAACAAAAACGATTGATTTTTGCCCGAGGGACCAAAAATTTTTTTTAATTTGCTTTATGTGTATTATAACCTTGGATTCATGAGTTTTTTTTTTTTTTTTTTTTTTTTTTTTTAAAAATTGGAATAATATCAAGAAAAGAAAATTTTTGGCAGATTTTTTTCTCTACCTGATCTTTTTATATAAAAATTTGAAAAAAAAAAATAAATTTCTAGCTTTCGGTTTTTCTCGAGTTAAAAGAACAAAAAAAAAAAAAAAAAAAAAAAAAAAAAGGCTGCAATTAATTAATAATTTTTATATATATATATATATAATGTTTCTCACGAGGTGACATTATTTAAATTATTATTATTTCAGGATGATATTAAGGAAGAAGATGAAACGGATGAAATCATTTTACAAAACATTCGTAATGTTAAAATTCCGTATACGAATAAAAGGGAATCCGCGAATAATAATCATTTGCAAACCGATTTCATACATCCGGATGACATAGTTCCCAGATACGGTCAAATATATGTTAAAAATTTAAAATGCAAGTTTTGCAGTTACAAAGCAGTTTTCAGTCACGAAATATGGCGCCACGAAAAAAGGATTCACGGTTTTATTCGGCCGGAAAGCAAAAAGGAAAACGTTCCGAAAAGGCCTCCGCCTAAACTCATACCCATTCAAAACAATAAAACCACTTCGACCAATAATTCAATAATTTCCTCCTCGATATTGAAAATTCCAGCCGTTAAAAATAAATCCGCCATTTCTCCGCCCGTTAATTCTCCGATAAATGAAAAAACAGTGAACGAAAATGAATTTAACGAAATGTGCAAAAAGTCTTGTTTAACGAGTTCCTTAAAAGATTTCGTGTCTTTGATCGGAGATGAAGAAGGTTTGAAAACGATACCGGATTCGTCTCAAGATGAATTGACCGAATGGACGCAAGTTACCGTCGAAACAAATGATTTAAGAACAAATCATCTATCGATGAATAATCAAAAGCAAACGGATTTACTTAAAAAGAAAAACGCTTCTTTCTTTGACAAACTCAAGGAAAAATTGTTGACCGGAAACAATGAAGAACAAAGTTTGTTTTGTGAAATGTGCGGACATGAATCAAAGTGTTTGTCGGAAGCGGTGGCTCATCAGAAACGTCATTCCGATTCTGGTTTTCAAAATGATTTCGAGGGACAGCAAGAAAACGAAGTGTTCCTTTCGGGTGCTGAATTATCATCCACGAGGTGCCAACACTGTAGACAACGTTGTAAAACGAGTACGGATTTAATTAATCATTTGAAATCTTGCAAAGCTTTCGGTGCAGCTCAAGAAGTTCAGTCTAATAATTTAGAAATTGGAGAATTCGACATTAAATCGGAGGGAAACGACGATAATAGCGAAGACGTTGAAAAATTCGACGATGAAAAAACAATGGAAAATCGTGTTTTCGTGTGGAACGATCTGAGTCGGGGTCATCACGAAGAAGAAAGTGAAAAAATTTCAATGAATATTATCGATGAGGAATTTAAAGGGGAGAATCATATGGAAATCCCTACAACTTTTGACAACGCCGTTAATAAAACGACAGAAAGCAACGAAACGGGATCTCTCGTCGTGAACATCGATCCTCGTCTTAATTTAATCGTTAAAAAAGTTTTCAAATGTCCACATTGTTCATTTTGGGCGTCTACTGCTTCGAGATTTCACGTACACATAGTCGGTCACCTTAATAAAAAACCTTTCGAGTGTTCGCTTTGTTTATATCGTTCGAATTGGCGTTGGGACATTACCAAACATATAAGACTCAAATCAGCCAGAGATCCGAGTCATTTAGAAGCTCAAGTTAATATGACGGATGAAACGGGGAGAAGAAATTATTCGAAATACAACAAGTACCTTACGATGATGAAAGTCCAAGAGTCGTCGGCTGAAAGTAGCGGAACGGGACGAAGGTCGAAGCCTAACGAAGCGACGCAGGGAAACGTTGCCGATAGAGATATCATACCTCTACCGGCTCCGCCAAGACTCACGAGAGCTCCGACACCGGGAACATCCCTTCAAATGCCTCAGGGAGTACCTTTGAGACCGCCTCCTCCATTGAAAGCAGCACATCAAATATCACTACCGATGAAATCATCTTCCGCCAACGTTAGAAATATTAAGGACAACGTTAAGAAAACTCTATGGAAATGCAAAAAGTGCAATTTTAGGTAATAATAATAATAATAATCATCATCATTTAAAAAAAAATAATAATAATAATTTATGTATGCATAAAAATTTTAGGGATTCGGTAAAAAGTAACGTACTTGCCCACGTGAAACAACATTATTCGAAAAAAAGTGAAAATTTACCCGATTCGAAAAGTGAGGGAGATGGAAGCAACAATTTAACATCGGGACTTGACGAAAATAGTACAACCGACGTGACTTTTCAAGATTCTTCCTACGGTAGTAAATTAATGACCAAAACTCCATCTTATAAATGCGGTCACTGTCAACAAGTATCGAATTGGAAGCACGTAATACAGGTATGAAAAACCTAATATTCTTATATACCATATTAGATGACAATGTTTTTAAAATTAACCAATGCAAAAGTTATTCAACAACTACTACTACTACCACCACCACCACCACCACCACTACTACCACTACTATTGGAACGAACTGTAAATAATTGAATTAATACTTAAAATGACAAAATTTTTATATTAAGTTTCGTCGAAGTTAAGTTAAGAGAGAGAGAGAGAGAGAGAAAAAAAAGAGCAAATAATTAACTTTATTTAAGTCAGTTCTAAGATCAAGGTTTTGAACAATGTCAATTAAAATGATTTGTTTTTTTTTTTTTTCTGTTGTTGTTGCTGTTGTTGCTGCTGCTGCTGTAACAGCGTCACTGCAGATTAAAACATAACGGAGATGCATTAATACAAATCGGATGGAAAGAAGAACCTATGGTTTCGCAACAAATGAATGATTCAGGTGAAAATTCCGAGAATTATGAAGTAATCGAAGATTCGATCGAATTAATTTGTAAGTTTCAAATTCAAATTTTCCCCCTCCCCCTTCCCCCCTCCACACTCCTATTACTACTACTACTACTAATTAATTAATTGAAGAAAACCGACAAAATTATTATTATTATTATTACACGGATTTAACAACGATCAAATAATAATAATAATAATAAGTAAATTCAAAAATTAAAATTTAGATTGATTGATTGATTGATTGATTGATTGATTGGGGAGTTTTTATATATAATAGATGAATGCCAATTTGAAATAAAAAATAAAATCGTTACTTACACTGTCGTCTACTGCTGGAAATTTGGTTTAATGATAATAATAATAAATATTATATAAATATTACTAAAATAAAAAAATTAATTTAACGAAATTTATGGACCCCAACAACGTTTTGTTTATGTGCTTCCTTTTTTTTTTTTTTTTTTTTTTTTTTCTACGTGCAATTCACAAAGCTTTCTTGTTATTTTTTATATACAGTACGCCTCGCATAAATCTTTGCTTTTATTTTTTTAAAAAAAAGTTAATTTTTCTCTCAAACGAAATATGTGTGCGTGCGTGCGTGTGTGAGTGTGTGTGTGTATAAAAAATATCAATCAATGGTCTTGGTTTATTGGTTGGGTTGATTTATTTTGTAATATTTCAGCTTGTGACATCTGTCCTTTTACTACCGATACAGAAGGAGATTTAACAGCTCACAAGCTGAATCATGTAGATCGCCCAGGTTCCATCTTTAAATGTTCATACTGTCCGTTTTACGTTCCAAGCAAAATGTAAGCAGCGTTCTTCTCGTCATTGATAGAATTTTTTTTTTTTTTTATTTTTCTTCTTATTCTTCTTCCTCTTCTTTTTCTTTTTCTTCTTCTTCTTCTTCTATTATTGTTTTTATTATTATTATTATTATCATTTTTTTTTTTTTAAATTTATTCTTTTATTTCCATAATTACGTTATTTTTCAATCATTTTTTTGTTGTTGTTGTAACATGATGATATGATATTTATTTGCACGTTATTTTATTATATATAAAAAAAAAAAAAAGGTTTTTCAAAGGTTTGCTACTATCTTGTGCATATTCTATCTATATTTGCTTTTTTTATATCCTTTTGTGTGTGAATGCTTCACAAAACATCTTTATTTGTTTTTTTTTTTTTTTTTTCTTTCTCGTACTTTCCAACGCAATTCAATTATTTTTTAAATATTTTTTATGTTGTATATTTATTTATTTATTTATGCACTCGAGTAAAATTTGTGAAATAACGGTTTTAAAAAACGGTAATAAAAAATAATTGTTAATAGTTAAATTTTTTTTTTTTTTTTTTTTGCATGAAAATCAATCACCTTTTACCTTTTTTGTAGCCTTTTAAATTAATTTTTTTTTTTTAAATTAAAAAAAAAAAAACTACTATTTTTAGAAAATGGTTTCGATTTATAAATAATATTAACATTATTATTATTATTATTATTATTATTTATATTTTAGAGCAGTTCTTGAACACATGGAAATTCATGGGGCTAACGATGGTTGTGATTTGTCTTCTTTAAAAGTAGATAATTTCGATCCGAATGAATGTAATGAAGAATTCACAACACAAAATGTAAGTGTACAAAAATTATATAATTTTATTTAGTAGTAGTAAAAAAGTTTTTTAATTTAAAAAAGAAATTGGCATTCATTATTATTATTATTATTATTATTACTATTTATTATAGAATGGAAACGCAGGAGATTTAACAAAAAGATACAAATGCCTTCAGTGTCCTTACCTTAGCAATAGTAGAACTCAATTTCTTTATCACAAACAATTTCACAGACCGCGTGACGCTTCCTTTAAATGCATGTATTGTTCTTATAATGTGTCACGTCGACATTTACTTCATCAGCATCTTCGCGTGCATCACATGCAGAAAGAAGTTTCAAAATCTTCTTCAAAATCACAAAATCACTCCGAATTCGAATCATCACTTTTGTCAATGAACGACATAAACACGATTAACATGCCTGAAATACCTTTGGTTTGGGTATTGAAAGGAGGAAATTTTCAAAAAATGTTTAAATGCAGATGGTGTCCTCACGTCAATATGAGAAAGATAAATATTCAAGAGCACGAAAAAATGCATCAAAATAATAATAATAATAATAATAATAATAATAATGATAGCGATAAAAATATATCCGATGGGAACAATTCGTCGTTATTAAAACTTCACTGTCTCGAATGTAATTATACTTGTAACAACGCTGGAGTGTTGGCGTCTCACGTTAAAGTACATCAAGGATTTTATGGAGAAATCCGTAGTTTGGTAGATCCAACGAGGTCGGAAGCAGATCAAATCCGAGAACTTCAAAGTACCCTGAGAATTATGGAACCAGAAGTTGTGATCAAGGAAGAAAATAAAAATTCACTCAAAGAACGTAAAGAATTTAAAAAGGAAAATATTTGTAATGAGTCTCTATCGTCTCAACCGGAAAATGCGTATTGCAATAGTTCAAATGTAAATAATATTTCTCTGGAAGAAGTAGACGAAACGAAAAAGATGTTAAAATTTTGCAATAAATGTCCCGCGAGATTTTTTTTCAAAAAGGAATTACAAATACATTCGAAATTTCACGCCATTCGCTTGCCTTTTATGTGTTCTTACTGTTCGTATACAGCCAGGCAACGACCTCATTTATTGGCTCATTTAAAAGTTCACTCAGACGAATACCAAAGAAGAACGACAACACTTGTCGGTACTTATTCGGTGTCAAGCAGTCATCCTCAACCGAAAGTAGCTCTCTTGGCAAAAGATGATTCCGATGAGAATAAAGGAATTGTTTGGATCGTATTGTCGAGTGTGCCGGCGGGAAATCCTTCTCGAATAAAAACTAAAGAAAATACAAAACCCCTGCCGAAACTTTGTTGCGATCTTTGTCCCGGAAAATTTTTCAAATCCGTTGCTCTTCAATACCATAAAACTCTTCACGGGAGTTCTAACCGTCATAAATGTAAATATTGCGATTACGCTGTTAAAACATATGGAAATTTAATGAAGCATCAATTCGTACACGAAAAACATTTAAAAACGGACGATTCGACTGCAAAAAAAAGGGAAGATCAAAGGGAAGAAAGAAAATATGAAAATTTAGAAGACATGAACAAAAAATCGATTGATGCATCGGGAGGAGAAGCACATTTGGAAACATTATTCAACGGTTCACCCGAATTCATATATCCGACATATATAAAAAATGGAAAACTAAAAGAAAAAAAATACAAATGTCATAAATGTCCTTCGGCATTCGAAAAAAGGGATCAATATCGTGTGCATTTATCACTTCACGGATCCAAACAAAAATTCAAATGCGAAAAATGTGATTATTCCGTCAAGTATTACACAAATTACATTCAGCACATGAAAAAGCATGAAAATCACGACAGAGCACTCAAGGCTAAAAACTCAGAATCCGAAAAAAAAATTTACGACGAAGAAACCCTTATATTTCTGGAGAATCGTTTTAAAATTTTTCAAGGGAAAATATTGAATAAAATGGGAGATAAAAAATATTATAATTGTCCCCATTGTCCATACGCGACAAATCAAAGGCACATAATCGAAAGTCACGTGAGAAAACATTATTGCGTGTCGAAAATCAAATCGGGATACGGTTGTCAGCACTGCGATTTTTACACGTCACAAGAACACTGCATGCGAGAACACAAAAAATTACATTTTGGAAATTCGATAAAGTTTAAAGCGGAAGCATACATAAAATGCGAAAAAATGGAATTGTGGTGTTGCGAAGAAAATGGGGATTGGACGAATCAAAATTACAGGAATCCTCCCAACGTTTTGGTGTTTCAGGATAGGGGAGAAGAAATTAAAAATCGTTTTTTTCCACCCATTGACGATTACGACGACGACGACGACGATGGGGAGACGATAGAAAATATATTGTACGTAAATTTAAAAACGGGAGAATTCGCGAAAGAAAATTCAAAAGAATCATCATCATCATCGTTATTATTAATGACGGAGAGTTTTAGTGAAAAAAACGGAGACGATGTAAAAACGGGATATGATAAAGTGGTGAATGGGAAAAAAAGTCCATTGGTTCTATCATTGAAAACGAACAATAATAAATTAGATGGAGAAACGACGACGGTTTTAAATAATACGGATAGAAATGAACATAACGTTAAAGTGAAAGGAAACAATTTCAAAACGACGAAAAAGTTAAAATCGAAAATAATGAAGAGATGGAGAGGGAAAAATTGGAAATGTAAAAAATGTCCTCACGCATTTGGAAAAAAAGATCAGTATTTAAGGCACGCGGCTTTACACGGATCGAATCAAAAGCACAATTGCGACATTTGCGATTATTCCGTTAAATTTTACACAAATTACGTTCAACACATGAGAATGCACCAAACAAACGAACCGGACAAAATTATTTTCGTTAAAAAAAACTGTTCGAACGCGGATGAAAAATCACACGAAGATGTGCACATCACGCCGCGCCAAAACTATTCGACACAAACGACAACGCAAAATTCAAAGGAAAAAACATCAATGGAAAAAAACAATTCAGAAACCGACGTAAACAAATCATCGATTGATGACGTCAGTGAAACGTCAGTGGTAAATTGCAGGAATTAAAAATGGCGGCGGCGGCGGCGAATACCGCAATAACAACAATAAATGAAAAAAAAAAAAAAAATGAACGATAATAATAATAAAATCAAAAAAAATTATTTATAATCCTAGTCATTATTATTATTATTATTATTATTATTTAATTATAGTTGTAGAGACTGATGATTGGAAAAGCCTCAGTGAAAAACATTCCAAAGTATATATATTTATATATATCGTTGACTACTTGTGTTAGATTTTCTCTAGTTCCTACATTTTATTAAATGATGAGAGTGAAATAAAAAGAAAAGAAAGAAGGAAATATCATAAGGATATTTATTATTAATTCAAGCAGAAGAAACTTACAAAAAAAAAAAAAAAAAATAGAATTATTATTATTATTATTATTATTGTTTTGTTAATAATTGTTTAATTCGTGAATTATTTTTATTTTTTAATTTAAAATAAAATAAAAAATTTATTGATTTTTTTTTTAAATTCAATCGGATCGAACTTTTTTTATTTAAACTGTATTTCCTTTTCCCCCCACCACCTTTCCCTTTATCCCCTCCCCTCCCTACCCCCCCCTAAAGAAAAAAAAGAGATAGAAACAAAGTTGGTGTAAAGTTAATAATAATAATAAATATTTGTTAATTTATTTACATGAAATAATAATAATGATAAATAAAAGGATATTTGGAAAATAGATTAAATTATTAATTAATTAATTAATTGATTGATTGATTATCGATTTTGTTTCAATACTAATAATTATTTTAAAATAATTATGAATACACAATATACACATTGTTTTGTTTTTAAACACCTTATATACCATTTAATTGGTAAATTTTTTCCTTTAAACATTTTAAAACTTTACAAAAAAGTTTTTTTTTTTTTATTCCTCGTAATTTTATTTATAATATTAAAAATTAATGTCATAATAATAATAATAATAATAATAATAATAAACGTTTCATTCGTAATTTATTATGCATCAAAAATTCTACTTAATTATATTTATTATTATTATTACTTTTTTTTTAAAAAATTGGCTTCCTTATTTTTAATTATTATTATTATTATTATTATTATAGGTTTTTTGTTTATAAATCAGAGCTTATATTATTATTATTATTATTATTATTATTATTATTAGTTAATTAATTAATTACATTGATTGGCTCGTTTAAATTAAAAAAAAATTAAATAATTTTAATCAATTATTGAAAGTGGAATAAGAAGAAGAAAAACAGTCAAATACAGTTAGTTATAAATTAAAAATTTTTTCTGCTTTTTATTATTATTATTATTATTATTAATAGGAGGAGGGGAGAGGGGGAAGGGGGCGGGTTAGAAAAAAAAAATTATTTTTTTAAAAAAAATTTTCACGTCACAAAAACAAAACACCGATAATTAAACAAATTATTATTATTTTTACAAATGACGATCCTATAAATTCCCTCATCATCATCATCATCATCATCGCCATATTAATAATAATAATAATAATAATAATAATAATGTACAGAAAAAAAAAAGTAATAAAAAAAAACTTTCTTAATTTTAATTTTTGTTTATTTATTTATTTATTTATTTATTTATATATATATATTTAATGTAATAATAGACAGAATAAAAAAAAAAAAAAAAAATTTTTTTTTTTTTGTTTATTTTACGTACCTAAAAAAAACACATTTTCCTTCTTTCTCTCTCTCTCTCTTTCTTTCCTCTCTTTTCTTTTTATAATAAGATTCGAAAAAAAAAAGTAAAAATTAAAAAATAAAGAAAAAATAAAAATAAAAAAAAAAAAAAAAGTAAAAATAAATCATCGTGAGCGAACATGAATTCTGAATAATTTTTATTTACAATTATCATTATCATTTGTTTTTTCATTTATCATTATCATTATTATTATTATTATTACTTTCTCTCTCTCTCTCTCTTTATTCAGTATTTGTCGGTATGCATTTGAAATTAAAAAAAAAAAACAAATAATAATAATAATAGTAGTAGTAGTAGTAGTAGGGGGAAAAATAATACTCTAACACAAATATTATTTTATATATATATATAAATTTCTTCTGCTTTTTTGTCACTCAATAATAATAATAATAATAAAAACCTTTTTCCTGTCGCCTTCTTTGTCATCATTCAATTTTTATTTATCCGTTTTAATAATAATAAAATAAATAATAATAATAATAATAATAATCCACAAACTCATCATCAATTCTCTTATACTCTTCCCTTGTTTTTCTTTTTTCTTTAGGGGGAGGGGGAGGAGGAAGGGGGAAAAAAACCTTTTTGATGGCCATAAAATATCCCCAACCCAAAAAAAATCCCGCAAAAAAAAAAAAAAAAAAAATTTTCTTTTTTTTATATAAATGGGGGGAAAGAAAAGAAAGAAAAAAAAACCCCCCTTTCAAAAGTGGAATAAAAAAAAAAAAAAAAAAATAATAATAATAATAATAATAAACGATTGGCAAAACTAACTAGAGTAAAACGACTATTACACATATATGCATATATCCCCATGTACAAATCATTATTAGTACAACTAACACACACACGCACACACACACACACACACACACACATATATATGTATAATAATAATAATAATAATAATTAATACCAAAAGGAAAAATACCGTGTGGTTAACAAAAAAAAAAAAAAAAAAAAAAATAGAAAAAAAAAATAAAAATAAAGTTATCACAGAATTTACATACCATTAATTAAAAAAATAAATTAAGTAGTAATAATAATAATAATAGTAGTTGTAGTTATAGTTATAGTTATAGTAGTAATAGTAATAGTAATAATAATAATAATAATAATAAAATTAGTAGCAATTTTAAAAACGTTTACGACACAGTTTTCGGCAAAAAAAAGAATAATAAAAAAAAAAAAATAAAAAATAAAAATTTAAAATAAATTATTATCATTATTATCGTAATCATAAAATCATTGTCTATTATCGTCATTGTATTCATCATTATACTATTATCATTATCATTATCATTATTATTATAATAATTAATAATTAATAATAATAATAATAATAATTAATCCTCGCGATTATCGTTCAACTTTTGCTCGTCTTCACTTTCACTTTTTTCACTTTGTTGCACCGCTCCCCCTCTCGTTACCGAAGAGTCTTTGAGAGCCGCACGTTCGGCTGCAGCCCGAGCTGCTCGCCCGGCGCTGCTCCTCAAATTCTTTCTTTCGACTATGGGCTGGACGACCTGGTGTTCGTCTGGATCCGATTTTGTCGATTTTGATTTTTTCAAACTCCTTCCGCGACGACCCCGACCTAAATTTTTCGACGACGTTTCCGCGGAATCCGAAGTCGTCGGCTCCGACGACGCCGAACCTAATTCTTGATCAATTGACTCGTCGCTTTTTTCCGAATAATCCACCGACGATCGATTTCCTAAATTATCCACGTTTTTCGTCATCATTTTGTGATCCGACTCTGACATACCGCGTTCTTCATCGTTAATTAATTTTACGTTATCCTTTGACGAAACTTTTACCTCTTGTTCCGATAATGTACTTTTCTCGGAAACGGCATCCTTCATTTGAACGGACTCCTCGGACATTTTTACCGCGGCGGCAACCCTCTTGCTGCTTTTGTCTTTTCTTCTCTTCACGACGATTTCGTTTGCGGATTCCGAAATTTTTTCTCCGCTATCAGGTACATCAGAAAACAGTAAAGAAGAATACTTTTTACCATCGGCATCACCCATAGCCTTCACCTCTGTCATGCTTGTCCCGGAAAGAGCCAACACTTCTTTCATTAAACTTTCTTTAGGTCTTTTCACGTTGTGTTCTTCTATTGTTCTCGAAATTAAATCAGCCATATTTACGTGAGAAAAATCCTTGGCTTCTCCGGACTTGATGGAAGCTTCTGGCATAGATTTTGTGAAAAATTCGGCGTGAGAACGACTTAAAACTTCCAGTGCTTCTTTCATATCCGGTTCTCGCAGTCTTTTTAACATTCTGTCATCAAGTTCGGATAATGAGCTCATGAGTAAGCTTTGCGTAGAAATTGACTCTTTTTTATCGTGATCCACTTTGCTGGAACGCCTCGATTGCCTCTCTTCCGTTTTACTAGAAGACGCAGGGAAATCCGCCAAAAAACTTTTACTTAATGAGTCATTGTCTTTGGACCGCTTTTCTGATCTGTCGGATAATTCTTTCCTATCCGTACTCTCCTTGTTTCTTCTTTCGGAATTTCTTATATTCGTTTCACCTGTTCTTCCTAATGATTCTAAAAGATGCGCATCATGAGGAAGTAGTAGATGTTGTAAATTATGTCTGTCCATTGAATCTCTGCCAGATCTATGATGCCGGTGGCTTGAACTAGGACTTGAAGATGTAGATGTACTTTGCTTGGAATTTCCAGAACCTTGAGATCGGCTACTTGAACTTCCTCGAGTTGTGGTCGTGCCTGACGTAGAAGCGGCGGCGGTCAAACCTCCATTTAGCAAACCACATTGTTGTGCTAAATTGTCATAAGCGGAGGATAGTGCCGCAGGCGGCAACGAGAAAGGATTTAAACCACCCAAACCAAGAGGCGAATACAACATGCTCGGATTTGGGAAATAAAATGGTAGTCCACCAGCCACATTATTAGGCAATGACGTAGTGGAAGATGTTGAGGATGATGATACTGGCGATGTTTTCGAAGAGGAATGTCTCTCTGAATCCGCGGCCGCTTTTCTCGACTTGCCTTTGTTCGAAGAGCTTCCCGGACTGGCTTGGTCTGTTGGCAACACTGCGTTTGCTCCTGAAGCATTTGTTTCAAGCCCTGATAAGGTAGGCAAACCCATGCTTGCCAGATTTGCAAAAAAGTTCATGGAGCTACTTAAATGGCCCATTCCACCCAGCGCTCCCATGTTGGGCAGTCCTCCGAAAGGAAGTAATAAGGGATTCTTAGGATCAAATAAGGGATTGTTTTTGGCGTCGAAGAAAGAATTATTTTTCGGATCAAAAAATGGATGATTTTTCGGATCGAAAAGAGCGTTATTTTTCGGATCTAAAAACGATAGATTTTTGGTATCGAAAAGAGGATGATTTTTGGGATCCAAAAAGGGATTATTTTTAGGATCAAACAAAGGATTATTTTTTACATCAAATAAAGGATTTTTGGAATCGAAATTACCAAGTGTCAAACCTGAAAGGAGTCCAGGAGCTAACCCGGTTGTTGATAAATTACCTAAACCGGCGGATGCCAAAGAAGGGAAAGATAGAGTGGAAGCCATCGAAGTTGCCAAATTGGCTTGACTCATAGCAGTAGCAGTCGATGATGTAGAAGACTCTGGAGGACTGTTAAGAACCTGCGAACGACTAGAACCTTTGCTTTTTCTGTCTGAATTTGAAAACCGTTTTTGGACTTCATGCGGTAGATTTCCTCTTTCTTTAACAAGTTCGGCCCATTTTGAATGCACATCATACATAGGGTTTTCCATTAACCACTGAGCTAGTTTCTTCAAAGAAGGTGCTTTGGATCCAGTTGCCTGAAATGAATTTAATTAAATATAATAATTGTCATTCAATAAATACATTTCGTTTTTATAATTTTAAATACCTTTGAATCATGAGGATATGACCCCATTTTTGAGAATTCGGCTACCTTGCTAAGATCGGCAACCATAGCTTCGTAAGTCTTTCTAGACTGTGATGACCCGGATGACTGTTGCTGTAAATTTTGCTGCTGTTGAAGGAGCTGCTGTTGTTGCTTTAAAAATGATCTTCCGTGTTCTTTTTCGGTTTGACCTCCAAAAGAAAAATTTTCTTTCTTCTTATCTGATTCGTTGTTAGCACTTGATGCCGGAATAGAGGTAACTGTGATCGTGAAGGGTTTAGACGATGAGATGTTTGCCGACGAAGTTTGGGTATTTGCCGGAGTCACTGTTACGTTTGGAGATATACATGTAGTTTTTTTCAAGTCGCTGAAAAATGAAGAACTTTGTTGTTCCTTGGCTGCTGATAATCCAAGAACAATAGCATCCAATTTCCTTCTCTTCTTTTCCTTATCCATTATTGGCTCTTCGGGAGGGCAGTTTTTACGCTTCAAAAGTTTATCAAGAGTATTTTCTAGTTTGCTTTTTTGTGAAACAACAGAGTGCTTCGTTTTAGATGACAAATCTTGAGCAATGGATAAATCCTGAATGTCAGATTCTTTAATTTTAAACTGTTCGCATTTAGATAAATTCGACGATAAGTCCATTGGAGCATTCGTATTTCCAGAATTACTGGAACCTTTCGTGGTCGTGTGAAATCTAGAAAGATCGAATGGCATGGATAGGTTTGTAGAGACACCCGTGAATGTTCGTGAAGTTTGTTGATGAGCCGGAGGAGGTTGTAAACTGACGGGTGTAGATCTTCTAGAATCTTCTGACAAACTTTCATCCGTCGCTTCCCACAAAGGCATGGATTTTAAATTTTGATGTTGAGATTGTCCTAAAGCGGCACAATTTAATAATGCATGAAGCTTTGCTCGCTCCGTTTCCACATCTATTGCAATATGATGTTTTTTCTTTTTCACATGATGCTTCGGAGCATGGTCTGTTGTGATGGTAATTATTTCAGAACCATCTGGCACAGACATTGGAGTAGAAGAATCTCTTTTCACACTTCCCTCGGGTGTATTTCTAGGTGTAATATCTATATCTAATGTTAAATTTGAATGAGTTCCAACGGTGTAAGCGCTGAAATTAGAAGATACGGGCCATTCTTTATATTCGACAGCGTGAATTATGTGTTGTAAACGAACAATAATAGCATGATCTCGGGGCCATTTTATAGGATTTTGGTAACTATGTGCTATTAATTGGGCAAGAGAAGGTTCCGACGGAGCTGGACTGGAACGTTCCCGCCAGAGAAACTGATCCAGTTCGTTTAGCCTGGCCCACGGCTGAAGAATTTCTAATTCCGATAACCCTAACTTTAAATTTTCATCTTTGAAAGGTTTTCTCAAATTGCATGCTTTTTGAAATTTCAATAATTGCGACGTCAAATCAGAATCTTTAGAAGTAATAATTATTTCCTTTTTAATTTCAATTTCCGGTTTAATTTTTTCTTCTTCAATAATAATATCGTCTGTTTTCAAATCATCATCCATTTTTTCTTCCGTATTCGTCGATTTTTCACTCGATTTCGGTTTAGTTATTTGATGTTCGGTTGTTTCATTTGAATTTTCATTTTGATTTTCGGTAGGCTCAATTTTTTCAATGTCTTTTTTAGAATCATCAGTTTTCGTGGGATTTTTGTCTGGATTCGTTTTATCCGCAGCATCACAATCACTACTACCAACTTTTTCAGATTCAACTACTACATCCTCGTCAATATTCACTTCGACGCTTTTATCACAATCATTATTAATTTTATGTTGTACTTCGTCATTATCCTTGTCTTTCTCACATTCTTTCTCCTCATTTTTGTCTTTAACCGTATCATCATTTTCTTTCAAAGTATTTTCTTTAGAAGAGTTGTTTTCATCTTTACTCTCATCTTTTTCGCTGTTTTCTTTATTATCCGCATTATCAGTTTTTTCACTTTCTTCATTTTCGTCTTTGCCTTTAGAAATATTTTCATTTTCAGTATTTTCAATTTTTTCAACTATTTCTTTCTCATCTGGCTTAGTAATGGCTTCTGAATTAATAGCAGTCTCTTCATTTACATTATTAGTATTGATTTCTTCATCGGTATTTTCCATTTTAGGTTTCTCTTTTTCCACAACATCATCACATTTTTCTTCTTTATTTATAACAATTTTTGAATCAGAAATTACATCACTTTCATCTTTGATTTTAATTTCCGCATTATCTTTCAATTCATCATTTTTCGCGGAATCCTCCTTTGATTTACCAGGTGCAATTTCTAACTTGCATTTATTTAATTTTTTTTCTAATACTTTTTCGTCTACATCAACTTTATTTTGTTGACATTCAACTTTAAAACTCTCTGCAAATTTTTCCCTTAGAAAAGTTGCAGGGTCATCAACAAGGCTCATTTTAATTACGTCTTTAAAACATAATTCTGGATCATTTAACAAATAAAAATCTGTTCTTGCAATTCCGTGTCTATAAAAAAACAGAAAAAAAAAAAAAAAAAATTATAGTTGAAATTTGTTTCTGAAAATCTTTTATTAAAAAAAATTTGTTTTAATAATAAATTTAAAAGAAACTTACCTAGCCACACCTTTTAAAAGGTCTTTGTCGTGTTTTCCGGGTACCCACCAATCAGGAACGTCAGCTGATGTTTTACACAGCTTAAGTCGTTGATCTAATCGTGGATGAGGTAATATTTCCTCCCTTATCTTACTTAGCATTTCAATAACTTCTAATGTCTTTTTTGCTTTTTCTTCATTTAAAGGTTCGATCAGTAGATCTTGACAATCTGAAAATGAAAAAAAAAAAAAAGTTAAAATCGTAAAAAAAAAAAAAAAAAAAAACAGTTAGTTCAGTTATTCAATCCAAAAACAAACAAACCTTCGTCTTCAATTATTTTAAGTCCACAAGATCGCTTAAGCATTGTGTAAAATGCATTATAATATTCAGTCATTGATTCATCAGTCTTTTTATCCAATCTTGAAAGACTTCTAAACTTTGTCCAATCGTATTGCTTTCTATTTTTGTCATATTCAACGCCGAAAACGGCGACGGTCCTGAAAAAGTCTACTTCTTCACGTCTCGACCATTTTTTTTGACTTATTTCAAGCCTAATTTTTTCTCGTTCTCTCACAATCTGCTCAATTTTTTCGCGACGTTCAATTTTCTGCAAACAAATTTATTTAATATAAAATAATTTATAACAATAAAATTTATTTAATAAAATAATAATAAGTAATTAACTAACTAACCCTAGCTTTTTGAAGTTGTTTAATTTCTTCCTTCCTGAAATTTTTCTGATATGCAGTGATTATTCTTCTAAGTCGAGTGTTTAAATCTCCTATCGAAGGCCAATCTAATTTTCCTTCTACTTTAATATCATCAGTTCCTGTAGATACGGATACGGAAGTTGATTCCGGAATTGATTCTACGGTTGTATCCGGAGTATTGGGCTTATCCGTAAAATTTAAATTTTCTCCACCCGTGTTGGAATTGTCTTCGTTTAGCGTCAGTGAACATCCAATGACGTTAGAATTATCTCCTTCCATCGTGTCTTCCTCAGTATCCTTGTCTACATCTTCATCCAAAGTCCTTTTTTTTTTTTTTTATAAGAATGAGTTTGTTTGTTAATATTTTTTTTTTTTTTTTTTTTAAACAAATTTCCGTTTTTAGTTAAAAATCAACAATACTAACGTGATTTTATCTTCGCTCGGATGATCGGGGCCTACTCTGGCCAAAAAGCACAACAAAGGATCATTTCTCATTAATGAGTAGCATTCGTAGCCGTGTTTAAATGTTCCCACTAGTAGAGATTTGTCAGCTTCCGAGTCCCACCATACAGTCGGCGCCTGGTCACAGATCGGAGGATTTATGGGCAAGGCACTGGCATGAACTCCTTCATTTATTTGATAAACCAAGTCTCCTATAATTTCATGTTTAATGTAATACAGCAGTCGAACTCTTAATAAAACCCTAAAACAGAAAAAAACGATAAAATTATTTAAAAAAAATTTTTTTTCTTTTTTTTTTTTTAAATTTAAGATACTTTTTAAAAATAAATAAAATTAATAATTACTTGTTTGCGTGTCGACTGAGATGCTTTTTATAATTGCTTTCTAATATAATTTCACCATCATATTTATCACAATTACTCCAATGTTCACCTTCGCTAGAACCTTTACGATCTTTATTTTTGGTTTTACTTCGGGTCAAATTTCGACCTCTAGGAACGGGTGCACTTAGACCGTGATGATTTTTAACTATTTTCGTTGATCCGTTTTCACAAGGAGTTATTAGATCCCAGATGAAATTTCTTATTTTTTCATCTCCCCTGTAGTAGCGAAGACAGTATACCAGCTAAAAGTTAAATATAAAAAAAAAAAAAAAAAAAAAAAAAAAAAATGAATTTTTAATAATTAATCAAGTTATGTTTCTATTCCCTTTATATTATAGAACACTTACAATAACTCTAGCACAATCTTCCACATTTTGAACGGTCCACCCTTTTCGAAACTGCGTATTATACATAATTTCCGGCCATCGATCCCAACCGAATGTAAGAAGACCTTTTTCAACTTTAAAACACTCGCTCCGAGACCATGTGCCGTATAAAATGTCTCCATCTTTAATACCGTATTCTTCGCCCAACATTGAAGGATGAAAACTTTGATGTCTTCTACGTTTTCTAAATTTGCTTTTTCTTCCTCTCCCTCTGCCCACGCCTAAGGAAGTGTCATCGTCACTTTCAACCGATGGACCAGAACTTTCTCCTAAATCTGACATATCCAAAGCAGCTTCATCTTGTCCGTATCTTTTGATTTGTGTCCGCCTTCTAGGCTCCGACACTAAAAGCTGTTCGTTCTCGTCTTTTTCCGTCGTGTCTATGTCTGCTTTTTTTGCCCATTTTTTCCAAAAATCAGGATCGTCTATATTTATATCTGATCTGATACCGGACGAAGCAAAACTCGCCTTGGAAAATGTCGATCCTTTTTCTGACTCAAGAGTAATGACTTGCGTTCTTCTTTCTAAAATTTGATCTATATCTTCTTCACAAAATTTATCCCCCGCAGAATCTTCATCCATGATAGCCCCGTAGGCTCCCCTTTTCAAAAGATCTTCGATTTCTTTTTTAGACAATTGTTTCTGAACATTATCTTTTCCACCTTGAGAAGTATTCATAGACTGCAGTACAGCTTTGTCTAAGCCCAATTTCAATGAAGCTTTATCAAACATTTCGCGTTCGTAGGTATTTCTACAAATTAAACGGTAAACTTTAACCATTTTTTGTTGGCCGATTCTATGACAACGAGCTTGCGCTTGCAAATCATTTTGAGGATTCCAATCACTATCGTAAATGATAACCGTGTCAGCGGCAGTTAAATTAATACCGAGTCCCCCCGCTTTTGTACACAATAAAAATACAAATCTATCAGAATCCGGTCGGCAAAATCTATCAATTGCAGCTTGCCGCAAATCACCGCGAATCCTCCCGTCGATTCTTTCAAATGAGTATTTTCTATATATTAAATAGTCCTCTAATATGTCTAAGCATTTTACCATTTGACTGAATATTAGAACACGATGTCCATTAGATTTTAGCTTGGGTAACAATTTATCTACTAAAACCATTTTACCGGACGAATGAATTAAAGCTTTAAAATACGCATCTGGATCGTCTCCGTTAACATTTCTGTAGTCTATTTGTATTTGTTCCTCCGCTCCATTCAACAAATACGGATGAATACAACATTTACGAAGCTCCATCATTGTATTCATAAGGTTGGGTATATTTGAAGAAGTAGTCCCTTTAGATAAAAATGAAAAATTTCTTTCTAATATACCTCTGTAATACTTTTTTTGAATATTTGTCAATTCTACTTCCACAACCGTTTCTTCTTTGGGTGCCAATGATTTTTCAACGTCTTCTTTCATTCTCCTTAACATCATCGGTTTTAAAATGGCCTGCAATTTGTTAACTTCCGATTCCGTTTTAAGAGCACCGAACTCTTGAAGGAAGGCATCGCTACTGGAAAATTGTGCAGGCTCGAGGAAATTGAGGAGTGAAAACAATTCATTAACATTGTTTTGTAGCGGCGTTCCTGACAATAATACCCTGTGTTCCATGTTTAATAATCGTAATCCTTCTAACAATTTACAATTACGATTTTTGAGTCGGTGAGCTTCATCAATAACGCATAATCGCCAATTGAAACTTTTCAACTCTTGAGAGTGAGTTATTATGAGTTCAAAAGTTGTTATCAATACATTAAATTTATGTAAATCTTTCATGAGATTGCCCTTATCATTTTTGAAATAAAATTCATATTCTTGAATCATTTGTAAACTCGCCGCCCTGTATTAAAAACATTGAATTACAAAAATACGTTAATTAATAATTTAAAATATTAATTTTAACTTAAAAAAAAAAAAAAAAAACATACGATCCATGATAAACGACTACGTTTAAATCCGTCCAAGCTTCAAATTCTCTTTGCCAATTAGGAATTGTAGATAAAGGAGCTATGACAAGGAAGGGACCTCGAATACCGTAATTGTATACCGAATTTACAAAAGCAAGAGATTGAATTGTTTTTCCCAAACCCATCTCATCGGCAAGTATGCAATTCCGGCTAAAATGAAAATTATTTTTTTTTTTTTATATATATATATATATAGAAAACTGTCAAGAAATACATAATTTATTAATAGATGATAAATTAATTCAGCACGTAAAAATTTACTCATTAAGAAAAATTCTTTCAGTATTAGCATGGCAAAGTCATCATAACAATTTATAATGTAAAACGGGACAAATATTTTCTAATATATTATAAAAAACAATACCAACCCATTGTGCCAAGAAAATAAAAGCCAGTTCAATCCTTCCAATTGATATAAACGTAAAGTATTATTATTTTTAAACACGGGCGATTTTTCCAATTTTCTCCACTGATCAGGTTGCGGCCTTTTTTTTGCTTTACACTTTTCTTTTGGCGGAATTTTTCGAAACTTTTCAAACTGTTTAATTGCCAACGGATCAACATCAGCTTCTAATTCCCAAGTTGAATCATCGTACTGCATCGAACGCCATTTTACTAAATAATGTTTCACTGTTACGTTTGTACCTGGATCGACATGTTCTGCAACGTCCAATACTCGGTCGATCTCAATAAAATCGGGATTGAACGGTTCATCTTCCAACTGAAAAAAAATAAATTTACAATTATTATACCTTAATTTCAAATTTAATTTAATTTTTTTTTTTTTTTTTGTTAAAAAATTAAAGTGACTCACGTTTTCAAAAATGTTCACGTTATTTGCCATTTTTTGCTGAAATCTTTTTATTTTAGAGAAAATCCTCCTGTCTCCTCTTCTAAGTTCTTCTTCAGTTTTCCATTCGCAATGAAGGTAAGAAAAATTACGGTATTTCACTAAATACTCTTCAACCTCTACCATTTCATTTTTTGAATCATTTTGATCTTCTGTTATTTCTTTCTCGGTCGTAGAATCAACTTGAACGTCTTTAGTATTTTCATCTTTATTATTATCATCATCATCTTTTGCATCTTTATTATTATCATCATCATCTTTTGCATCTTTATTATTATCATCATCATCTTTTACATCTTCATTATTATCATCTTTTGCATCTTCATTAGTATCATCTTTTGCATCTTCTTTATTATCATCCTTTGCACCTTCATCATTATCATCTTTTCCATCTTTTTCACTAGAATCGTTTTCATTGTTTTCCGGATTTTCTTCTTTCAAGTTTTCTTTACTATCTATTTCGGTTGATGCTTCCACATTTTCAGTCTTAGTCTCGATTGTTTCCTCTTTATCGATTTCCTCAGTACTCGCAGTTGGCTGAGCATTATTAGGTTTAACTTCTCTTTTTGCACGACGTACCGCAAGAATGTGTTGTACAACCATTGAATCTTCATCCGTTGTATTCTAAAATTAAATAAAAATATTTTATATTTATATATCAAAAAAATTTTTTTAATTATTGTCACCATCAACTAAAATAATTATATTTACACTATAATAGCAATAATTTATTTGACTCATACTTACAACGTAAACGAAATTGGGTTTTACTGTTGGATCCGAAGGTCCGGATTTGGCTCCTCCTTTTCCCTGTATTCCGTCTGGCGTTGGACTTTTGGGAGAATCTTCATCAGATATGGCGAGCATTATGTCGTCACAGTATTTTTTTCTTTGGGTATTACGAGCAGATCGTCGTTTCTGTAAGCATGTAAGTTGTACTGTTAAAATCAATAATTTTTCTAGCAAAAAAAAAAAAAAAAAAAAAATCTTTTTCTTTTTTTGTGTGAAAATCATATGCTAACATTAGAATTTTCGATGTCATCACTAGGCGAAGGAGGAGGCGTTGTCGTTAGCCCGTCTTCATCCGATTCATCAACCAAACTCTTTTTTTTTCTACCCGGGCCACCTCTTCCTCTTTTATTGCTACTAAAAGATCCATTTTTAGATCGAGAAAAAACAGGTTTCCCGTTGTCTTTTTTTCGGCCTCTTTTTTTTGGCGTTGAATCCGAATTCAATTCGTTACTTGTTTCTGGAACGGCATCATTGGTCACCGCAGGAGTGTTTTCTAAAGTTAATTCTGCATTGACTTCAGTATTCGTTTCAATATTCGTTTCAGTAGTCGATTCAGTAATCGATTCAGTAATCGTTTCAGTAATCGTTTCAGTATTATTAATACTAGTTTCTTTATTATTATCTTCACTTATAGAATTTACAGTCTTATTGTCTGAGATTTCTTCTAATTTTTCATTATCGTCGCTATCAGGCTTCTTAGCAGTCGTCATTTCTTCCAGTGAAAAAAAACGTTTTTCTTCAGCTTCCAAAGCTTCCCATTCTTCGGTTCCGACGTCGCTCAACTTTCTTTTTTTAGGTCCTCGCTTATTATTCTTCTGCTCTTTAGGTGATTTAGATTCTTTACGCTTTCTCGGAGTTTTCACTTTTTCTTCCTCATTACCCTCCGTATCGGATTTATTCGACTTTGGAGTCCTTGGTTTTCTTATTTTAGGTTCTTTTGGTAATTTTGGTTCTTTTACTGTTTTGGACCCTCTAGGTTTTCTTTGTTTTCTAATTTTTCTCGGAACTATTTCACCACCTAAAGCTTCGTCAGTCATTAGATAAGGGTCTACTTCGTTGTCTGCCACATCTCTTGAGTAAGAGTTTTTTTCGTAAGAACTGCAAAAATCACTTTGAAAATCATATGAATTAATAGAATGAGATTCTTGCTCAGGATTTGTACTGCTGTCGACATCACAAGTCGTATTTACTTCAGATAGAGAATGATTATTATTGGGGTTCGACTCCCACAACGAACTTGTAGGAGGACTATTATTTGGAGAAATTTCTCCTTTTGATGCAGGTTCAGGCATCGTTGTCTCAACAGGCGCTGTGGTTTGGTTTTGAGGAGATTCTGGGCTCAAATTTGAAACCGTGGAAGATTGCTGAGGAGAAGAAACAGAATCGGATTCAGGAGTTTGAGTAGTTACTTGCGAAGGAGGTAATGTGCAAGATACTTGTGACGGCGCTGGATGCTGCATTTGTTGTTGTTGTTGTTGGGGTGGAGGCGGAGGCGGAGGGGGCGGAGGTAATGATTGCTGTTGCTGCTGTTCCTGGGAAGGTTGCTGCTTTTCCTGGGTTTGTGGTTGTGACTGATGTTGCTGTTGTGGTGGCTGTGATTGTTGCTGCAATGGTATAATTGAAGACGCTTGAGTTGACTGAGGTAGCGGAAGTGACGGAGGCGAAGTTTGTGAAGGTATTTGCGGTAGTGATTGTTGAGAGCACTGATGAGAAGGAGGAATTAGTTGATGAGGTAATGCCGTAGGAGGCGGATGAGGTGTCACCATATTATGATTATTTGAAGGCATATTTTGACTGCTATTGGCGATTAAATTTTGATTTTGCATGGTATTTACATTCGTATTAGAAGTTGAATTAATCTGATTTGAATTAACGGTCTGCCCTAAACTTAACGAATGAGAAGCAACATCACTTAATGACGACATTGAAGAATTCGGCATATTTACGTTTGGCGCCGGCAAATTCATATTGGAAGATAAATTAGCAGAATTTAACCCTACGGAGTTAGATGATATATTTGAATTAGAAACTAAATTTGTATTGGATGGAGGATTCATTCCTGATGACATATTACTGTTAAGCAACATATTAGAATTAGAAGGTACATTGGAATTATTGGTTGGTATATTTAAATTTGAATTTAAATTTGAATTTATATTTGGATTCATTGTCATGTTTGAATTCGGTACTATATTAGGATTTATTGACAAATTCGGTGGTCCTGTTGCCATACTCTGATTGGGATTAATACCAGAAGTCATATTGCTATTTATTGGCATGACGGAACCAGATGTCAAATCAGGTGGATTTGAAATATTAGGATTAGGTTGCAATGAGTTCATTGCCATATTTGGATTATTTGCTAGCAAATTAGCACCCATATTATTAATCAACGGCATGTTCGGTAAACCACCCATAGTTCCCATCATTGGATTCATCTCGAGTGGCATTCCTTTAGATTGATAACTCATTTGTCTATACTGCTGTTGATGTAATAACAAATGTTGTTGCTCTAATAATTGTTGCTGTTGCTGTTCAGCAAGTTTTTGTTTTTTAGTTTTTCTAGGCTTTGCGGGTCCTCTTCCACGACCACGGCCTCGCCCTGTTGTGCTTGTTACCTGATAAAACAAAATATATAATAAATAAGTTTTATGAAACACGTAGACAAAATATTTATTAAAAAATTTTTTTTTATTTGTAATTTTTAAGATAAATAATAATACTTTTACTATTTAATAAATCTTTTTGATTTTAAGGAAATTAAAGGGTTAAATTTTAATTTACCTGGGGGGATCCTTGAATTAATGAAGCACCAAACATAGGCCCAGGAAGAACACACAATGGCCCTCCTTGGCATTGTGTGGCAGCTTCGTGCTGCTGTAAAGTTCTTAATCTTTCTTCCAATTGTGTCATCTGAAAAAATAATAAACATTGTACAATCATTTTTATTATTCAGCTTTAAATTAAAATTTAAAGTTGGAAAACATTTAGTTTAAATTATTTTTCTCTTACTTTTTCTTGATGCATTGGGGCGGGAGGCATACAATAAAGCTCTTGTAATTGTTGTTGAAGAGCCGCCATCTCCTGCTGATGACTAAACATTTCAGATCCTCCCATATTCATATTCATCATTGTGTCCCCACTCATCAAGGGATTGGATGAAGAACTATACATTTTTGTCTGTTGACGATTAGCCATTATTCTCATTGTTGTAGGATCCATGCTCTGTTGGTTATTCATTCCAAGCATTTGATCATTCATATTTAATAACCTACCAGCCCTGCTGGAAGAGTGATCCATAGAAGTAGTGTCTATTTGAGAGCCATATTGTCTGCTATCAACGGATAGCATATCATCCATTTTACTAGACTGATACTGAGAATTTGTAAATTCGGTAAAACGGTTGGATTGTCCCACGTGAGACATTCCGTGTCCACTCAGATGTTGCTGAGATGATTGCTGCGGTGGTTGCTGTTGATGCTGATTTCCAGGCATCATCTGAGTTTGGTTTTGAGTAGGTCCCATTAAATGAGACATATGACTCTGATTAGGTGCTATATGTTGCTGAGGATGATGCTGTCCAACGTGAGATCCTAATTGCACGTGCGACGACATATGACCTCCAATGCCCTGTAAATTATGACTTGAAAGGTTTTGGTGAGGTGCCATGTTTCCCAACATTCCACTCATTCCCTGATTTTGAGTTCCTAATAATTGTGCGTTTGATTGATCAGAAGTATTTAAAGCCATCGTAGATCCAGTTAAATTTATTTGATGGGTCCCAGTACTAGACTGATGCGCTGAATGATGAGAGCCCGATATAACGTGCTGAGTAGGACTAAGAAGTTGATGAGAAGAATTATCAATTTTACTGTCTTGTTCTTTCATTTGTTGAGAACTGACTTGAGTCGATGGGGCCGATTGGGTAGATGTAGTTGGATGTGGACTTTGAAGTGGTTGCCCAGGAGACAAATGAGGACTGGAAAGAGATGGATGAGGACTAGGATGAGAAGGAGTAGGATGAGGGCTCGTATGAGATGGATGCGAACTGGCGTGAGAAGGACGAGGACTTAATCCTTGTGAAACTTGGGTAGATTGATGAGGACTGTTATGTGGCTGATTTAATGGGCTTGAGTTCGGTAACTGCCCTTGAGGATGCAAAGGACTTGAATGAGATTGCTTCGACTTTGCATCCGATGTTTTGGAATCTAAAGACGAACTCGGCCCAGTTGATTCACTAGGTGAAGAACAATTATTGTCTATTACATTACTACTATGTGGTTCCATATTAATGGTACTCTTACTTTTCTCACTTCCTATTGAATTATCTAATGTAGAAGTAGAAATGGCTTCTTCAGTAGCTGACATTGAATGAAAGGAACTCATTCCGTCAGGGGTATTTTGCATTGGATTTTCTACAGAATTATTTTGCTGAGACCATGATTGAGGAGAAAGGGGTACTCTATTACCTATTGCTGGAGACTGAGGATTAGTTTGAGCTTGATTTCTAGATTGATAGGGAGGAACCATTTGCTCAAGTTGCTGCAATGTACTTTGAGGTCCAAAATTGGGTGCCGGGGAAGACGTTGACTTAGGGGTTAAAGGATGGGGGGAAAGAGTTGAAGATTTCGCAGGAGACATTACTGGTCGAGGAGACATCTGTTGAGCTGAGGCGGGTTGAGGACGAGGAGACATTTGCGGTCTAGGAGAAATTTGAGGTGATAATTGAGGAAATGGCGCACGATACTGAGGACTTCCTGCCCCTAGTGAAGGTGGCATTCCTTTTTGTGAATAACCGGATACTTCTACTCCAGGTCGAGTCGGATGTCCTGAATGTTGATTTTGCTGATGATAATTCATAATTTGTGATGCTTGCATGTGCCCATACGGAGCGTTTGACGGATATTGATTTTGTTGAGCTGTCTGAGAATACTGAGGAGACTGAGGAGCACTTTGTTGATATGGATTATGATGTGTCAATCTGCCATAGCTATCATAAGATCCAGAATAATGAGAACCAGGCGGATATTGTTGATAACCCATCATTTGTCCTGAAGCGTATTGCTGTGGCATTTTATCAGACTGTGTTTGTTGTTGTTGTTGTTGTTGTTGCTGCTGTTGCTGCTGCTGCTGTGAATAACCTAAATGTTGGCGATAAGCTGATTGAGGTTGGTTTACTTGACCTCCGTAATGCCTCATATTGCCAGGATAACCCGAAGCCCCATTCCAACCCTGTAAATTGCTAGGTTGCCTTTCCATAGAATACATATTTTCTGGAATAGTTGGATAGGGCGAAAATTGACCAGGCGGTCGATGAGATCGAATATGTGGTTGATATGAGGGCCCCGTGTTGGGCGCCAAAGGTCTAGTTGAACTAGGATTGTATCCAGGATGCGTTTGATGATACATGTTTTGCTGTTGCTGTTGTTGTTGCTGCTGCTGCTGCTGATTATCCACGTGACCAAAATCTCCACCAAAAGATGCCAACTTTTGAAGCGGAGATTCTTGGGGTATTGTTTGCCCATACTGCGCTTGTTGTTGTTGCTGTTGCTGTTGTTGTTGAGAAGGAGGTGGTTGTCCAACATAATTTCCAGTACCATCGCGAGGAGCACTGGGATCTAAATTATCTCCACCAAAGTCAGTTAATCCATCAAGCATCGAACTCCCTCCATCTTCACCAAACAAATCATATGAGTCCATGTTCACGCTTAAACACACATTTTGAAATCCGAATATTCTGTGATGTTTTCACAGCCATATAGAAAGATTTGTGAACATTTTAATTTACCTGAAATAGAAATAATCAATGTATGATAAATAATAAAATTTAAATGATGTATTTTAATGAAATGCCAAGTAAACATAACGACAAAAATTAATATTATTATTAATTACATAGATAATAAAAAATCATATTTCATTATGATAATAAAAAATTTTAAAATATTTAAATTTAATTTTTTTTAGTAAACAAAATTTTAAGCTAAAATCACATTTAAAAAATCAAAGTATTGATTTACGAAATAGAATTATTTTTCAAAACAAAATAAATATAAACTCTAATTATAATTAAAATAAAATAATTTTTGTAATTTATAATAACCGATAAGTAATTTCAAATTAAAAATAATTTATTTATTAAATCAAACATTTGCATGTTAAGTTTTAATTTTAACAATAAAAAAAAAATAATAAAGCAAAATTTCAAATATTACTCCTAAAGAGGCTACATAGCGATAAATGTTAGTTATCTAGCTGTGAACGATTTTAATAAACATTAATTTCAACACTGAATTTTAACCCTAAAAAAAAAAAAAATTTTTTTAAATAAGTATTATAAATTAGTTTCCAAAGAATTCTAGTAGATTTTTAGTGCCACCAAAGGGGAAAAGCTATACGCTTATGGATTTTAATTAGCATCATAAGGCATAAAGTTTTCCCCTATGAGAGTACTAATACGACAATGTTTCTAAAACCTTTGTGTTCTTGCACAAAAACTAAAAAAAAAGGTAAAGCAATTAAAAGGTATTGCTTAGGCATTAATTTAAAATAAAAATAAATAACTCTCGTATAAAATAACATAATTACTCTTAAGCTTTAAATTTAAAACATTTTAAAAAAATTGATTATAAGAAAAAATTTTTTTTAGAAAATTTAATTTTTAAAATTAACATACTTTTTTTTTTTACATTAGAATACTTTAAAGAGATAAAGAAAAAATTGCATTCATTAAATCATAGATCATCAAAATAATAATCAACAATGAATTCCAAATAGAAGAGAACACTGCAGTAAAACAATTATTCAATTGTTATTAATTACACAAAAATATTTTAACCCAGTTAAATGAAAATAAACGGATTTAAATCTTAACAAAATTAATTTCTTTACGGTCTAAAAAAAAAAAAAAAAAAAAAAAAAAAAAAAAATTTGACGCTAATCCTAATCTTCATTTGTTTTTATCGTATATATATATATATATACATATAAGTAATTATTTCAATTTGATATTTATTTAATGTTTATATTTAAGTTCAATGGTAATTTACTAAAAAATAAAAGTCAATGAATTTAAAAATTTTACTCTGCGTCGGTCATAAAGTTGGCCTACTAATTGTCTAATGAACTAAGGGATAAAATCGGTATCATGTCAATGTTCTCATAACTAATTATTACATTTAATTATAAATTTCTTTAAAAAAAATGAAAATAAAATTTAAAAAAAAGCTTTTTTTTTTTAAAGTCAAAGTGTGGGCCAAGTAGAATACGACCAAACCGCAAAAATAAAGTGGACATAATGGACTGTCGTATGCCTAGGCTTGGCGATCGGAACGCTCAATACTTCCGTGCTAGTCAATAGGTCAGGCCCAAAGAGAAGCTTCAAAGTTGGAAGAAAATGTTTATGTTTTCACCATTATTTGTTTTAATATTTCAATACAAACAATTACAATGATCCACGGTACTACTTACCAAACTTATAACTTAAAACTAACAATTTCAACACATCAAAACAACCGAAATTTTACTTTCCATTTTCTCAAATATCGAGAGAATTGTATAAATTGGTCCATACTGCGATCTTACATCACATGCGATTGGACAGATTTGCGCCATCTGTAATGTGTTTAATAAAATTTAGCCAATGGTAAAACTCGTTACATCCTTCTTAGACTTATATAACAAAAAAATTATCCAATTAAACATTTTTGGTAAATTTAAATTTTTCCCGGGTAATGTTATTGATCTTTACCCCTATCAAAAACGTACATACATATTTTTTTTTTATTTTATTAATAATTTTTAATGACAGAAAGTAATTAAATAATTTTATAAATTTAAAAAAAAAAAACATTCAAATTATTAACGTTCACTCTCTATATTAATTTATGCTTTTTTATTAATAAGTATTTTATAATTTTTATAATTATTTGAATTAGATTTAAACTATCATCCTCTTTGTATTGCATTTTAATTCTTTAAAAATATGTAAAAAAAAAAAAAACTTACTTAAGAGAATTTTATTACATTTTTTAAATTATAAAAAAAAAAAAAAAAAAAACGTGAAAAACGTGTTCATCAATGAATTATCTTAAATTTTTAATTAATTACCATATTAAATACTTCTTCAAACTTCAAAATTCACCAAAAAAAATGCTTCATTTAAACTTAGTTTAAAATTTATTTTAAAAAAATTTTTTTAAATAATTTTTCTTTTTAATAATAAACACTAATTTTTAAAATACTTTAATTAAAAAATAAAAAATAAATTTTTTTAGAATTTTTAAATATATATTAGAATTAGCAGGGGGGCCAAACGCAAAAACAAAAAAAAAGTTAATCTTACTCAAAATATATTTAAAAAAAAAAATTTCATAAAATAAATTTGTTTTTTTTTTTTTTTTTTTTTTTGAATTAAATAATAAGAATATTCAAATATTTCCTTCGCATTAATAATTTTTATTTAGCTGCCATATATTTTTTTAAAATTTATTATTAAATAATGAAATTAAATCTTTTAAATTTTATATAATCATATTCTTGTATTAAAAAAATATATAAATCTCTATATAGATTATATTAAATTAAGTTTTCATTAGTAAAGCATTTTGTTTTAAGAATGTAAATTAATGAATAGGGAATTTATTGCTCAAAAATAATAATTAAAACCTTCAAAGACTCTAAGTAATATTTTACAATTATTTCAATACTTTACAATACTATTATTAATTGTAAACACATTAACAAAACCATCTTGCTTTGTATTACTCTATGACTTTTTACTATTAACGTCTCTGAACTCTTTTCATCGAGTGTTTTATTTACATTTTACTTTGATTTTTAGTTTACCTAGTTAAAATATTGTTATTTCAATGCCTTACGCCAACCAACCTTCAGTTCATATAACAGATCTTACTGATGAAAATGTAAAATTTCAAATCGAAGACACAGAATTAAGGTACATGTGTATTTTAAATGTAAACTTAACAATTTTATCTTCTGTTACCTGGATTTGCGGCTTCCATTCATTTTCTAATTAATTTAACTTGTTTGACTAATAATTTATCTTAGTTTATTATTTGGTATTTTAATAATTACGTATTATACATTTTATCTAAATGTTATTATTCTTTAGTGTGGCTAATAGTATGCGGAGAGTATTTATTGCTGAAACACCAACAATGGCTATTGATTGGGTGCAGTTGGAGGCAAACTCGACAGTTTTGGCAGATGAATTTATTTCTCACAGAGTTGGTTTAATTCCATTAACTTCAGATGAAGTAGTTGATAGAATTCAATATACTAGGGATTGTACTTGTTTAGATTTTTGTCCAGAGTGCAGTGTAGAATTTACTCTCGATGTCAAATGTACTGATGATCACACAAGACATGTAACTACTGCCGATTTAAAATCTAGTGATCCAAGAGTTTTACCAGTTACATCTAGACATAGAGAAGATGATACTAGTGAATATGGTGAAGCCGATGGTGAGTAATACTAAATTTTATGGTGTAAAAGTACTTGAAAATATATGCAAAATAATTTTTCAAATTTTCTCAACATTTTTGCATTTTTGTTTTTTTTTCTTAATAGAAATTTTAATAGTAAAATTAAGAAAGGGTCAAGAATTAAAACTTAGAGCTTATGCAAAAAAAGGATTTGGTAAAGAGCATGCAAAGTGGAATCCTACAGCAGGAGTGTGCTTTGAGTATGATCCTGATAATTCAATGAGGCATACATTATATCCAAAACCAGATGAATGGCCTAAAAGTGAATACACTGAACTTGATGATACACAGTGTAAGTAAATTATTTTATAATACATATGATTAAAAAAAAAAAAAAGCAGTAAAAAAAATTTTAATGTAATATTATAGGTGAAGCACCTTATAACTGGGAAGCTAGACCGAATAAATTTTATTTCAATGTAGAAAGTGTTGGTGCTTTGCGTCCTGAAAATATTGTCATGATGGGTGTTGCAGTTTTAAAAAATAAACTTTCAAATTTACAAACTCAGCTCAGTCAAGAATTGCAACATGATGCTCTAACTATTCAGTAATATTTATTTTTGTGTGATGTCGCAAATAAAATTGTTTATATTATTTTGGGTAAATGTTTAATAAAAAATTTTACCACTGTAATTTCAACTAATTTGTGACTAAAAATTATTTTGACTTTTGCTTTAAAGTTAAAATATTAAGAAATTCTGATTTTTATCATTAATTATATTTGCTTATTGCAAAATTATACAAGATAAACATTTTTTTTTTTTTTTACAATAAAAGTACAAATTTTAATTTAAACTTAATTTTAAAGTTTGGAATTTTTTATATAATATTTATACAGTCCATTATAATTATTTAAAAGTTTTAATCTACAGCGCCATTAATACCGAGGCAGTAGACGGAGCTTTAAGTGATGGAGCTGAAGCTTGCCTTACACTCATTTCCCAGGTATCTAAAAGTTGGGATAAAGAATACTTGTTTGGAAGTTTTCTTATTCTCAAACTAAGAGCTTTATGAATCGCCATTAAAAAATCAGTAGCCATATATTCCTGTTGGGATAATGTGCAACGCGGGGGATTTTTAGGATAGTCTTCTGGGATGGAAATAGAAATTGGAGGTACACATGGTAAATACTTGTCGTCAAGCCAACAAATTAATCTAATATTTTTCGAACCAGGTTGCTGAATGTTGTCTAAGCTGACTTTAAATCTTTGATCTAAACGTGCAATTTCACCCTGAAGCACTTCAGGGATATCATGCTTTACATCTTCCGTAACTTTTCTTTCAAGAGGTGTTGGCAACATTTTCATTTCCGTTCCGAAGAGTGTGTCCATAGTCGGACCAAAAGTTCTTTGTAGAGTATGATTGTTTACTGATGTCTGTAAACAATTATTTACAGCTTCTAATAAAGGATTTAGATTATGAATTTCTTTAAGAGCAGAAATGTGACCGGGATGTGAACCCACACTCCCTTCTCCCTGAAATCATTTAAAAAAATAAGTAGATAAGTACACCGAGATTACATTTATTTAGATACATTGATAAATTGATATTAAATATATAAGTAAAATTTATCAATAAAAGGAATAATTTTTTTTTTTTTGTTACAAATGCGAATAATAAACTTACTCTTTTTAAGTCTAATTTTTCCAAAACCACTTCGCATTTCCTTAATGTCTCCAGCGGCATTCTCTTACTAGGATTTGATAGGATTTCAAGTAATTTCTTCATTTTACTTAATTTTTCTACGTCTGAAATAAATTATTAATAATTAAATTTATTACTTTTGTGCTAAGAAATTTTTTTTTATTTTTTTCTATCGATAAAATTTACTTAAAATTACATTTAAATTACTTATACTTACTTACATTTGTACTTTTTTATTCTTTTTTTAATGGAAAAAAAAATAATAATAATTTTTGGAAGTTAATTAGATAATAAAAATATGCTTACCATCATTGCCCATTTTAGCTATCATTTTCCGCAGAGGTTCTATGTATTTACTCAACTGTCTTACTTTTTCTCTGTATTGCTGTTCTTCTAATAAGTTACCAGGACTTGGAGTTGGAACAGATTGACCAGGAGTATTTAAAGAATTACTCGGAGAAGAGGCCATTCCTGAAAAAAGCAAATTGTTTTGTTAATTAATATTATTTGGAAAAAAAAAAAAACTTTCAATTTGAACAAAATAAACTTTAACCATTTGATCGCGGAGGACCAGACATAACTGGAGTTAATTGAGGACCACTTGGAGATGAGACAAGAGCTGGGGAAACTGCCATTTGATTAGAACCAACACTTCCAACGCCAACAGGAGATACAGCAGAAGGAGATGGACTCTGACGTAAAAACTGGTTTGGAGGAGCATTACGAGATCCTAGGAAACTTCCAGGTTGAGTGCCTATTATCATCTCATTTGCCTAAACAAGTTGTTAATATTTAAAATGCAATCTTGGTGAATCAATATTATTATTCTTACAGTTTAAACTCAATCTTTTAACAAATATACTTTTCTTTGTTGAATTTGATTCATTTGAGAATGAAGTTGTGGACCGATGGGAACATTTATTTGAGAGTTCAATTGCCCTTGCATTGAAGGATGTATTTGAGAACCTATGTTTGGCACTGGAATTTGGTTAATTCCACCAGGTTGTTGAACTGGCACCATATTAATTCCACCCATTTTGTTTTGAACACCAGGAAGACCCATCATTGCATTGGGAGAAGGTCTTTGATTTAAAGTTTGCAATACTGAAAATTTAAAATTACTTATTATTTGCAGAGTTAAACAACTAATTATTTTGTGATTGTTAAATTAAAAACCTTAATAAACTAACAATTAGTAGCAGCATTTTGTGGAGGAGTTTGACGTACTATTCCTACTGGCCCATTAGGCATTTCCCCAGGAGTCATATTAATAATTTGATTGTTACCTGTTCCTAAAATAGGGTACAAATAAATTTAATTTTAAAGTTTACATTTTAATGGTTTTTAAATTTTATTCAAATAGACTTTTTAAGCATACCTTGACGAGCCAATGTTTGTAATGCATTGATAGGATCTGGGACAATTTGACCAGAAACTCCACTTCCCCCAATAGCATTAGAATTTTTTGTTTCTAAAAAAAATTATTCCAAATAAATATTTAATATAAAAATTATTTTAATTGTGTGGGCTTCAAACAATGAAAATTAAATTTTCTAATTAACTATATAAAATGTATGTATAATTCAATAATCAGTTCCACTTTCTTTTCCATTGGATTGTTCTTTATGAAAATGTATACATAGATAAATTTTATAGTATTATCCTTACTCATTTCCCTAATGTGCAATATTAATCGAGCTACAAATGCCAAATATTCTTCTTTTGTTTTAGCTTTTTGAAATACATGATTTTCCATTTCCATACTATTTTTGGATGTGGGCATACCAGATCTAGCAACTGCATCATCTCTAAAATACAAGAAAACTTTATGTTAAATATAGAAGATTGGATAATTATAATTTGTAACAGAAATAAATAAATTTTAAAATAAATAAAAAATTCATCCATTAGGAATCTATTAGAATAATATGATAATCTCAATTACTTTTTGACAGTTTGTTGAATAAGAAATAAAACGTTAATATTTTCATTTCAAACCTTATTGGAAATAATAAAGTAATATAAAAATATAAATAAAAAATTACATTTTTGCCACTACCCCTTGACGAAAAGTAGCTGATTTCCAATGATTATCTTCAGCAGACATTTTATGTTTTTTGTTGTATTAATAACAGAAGTATGTGACCATTAAAACCATAAATAAATATGTAAAATTATTTTATTTCCTCTATGATAAAATTTTACATGAGTTATGAAAGGCACGCAATATATTCCTCTGCATGATATTTAAGTTTTCAAATTTTAAAATTCATTTGTTTTAAAATGGCGGCTGTTGAAGGTGTTGCTCATATCCCAGGTTTTTCTTTTGAAAATTGCAGAAGGTAATATTTTAATTTTTAAGTCAGGAGTTTATTTATTAAATGTTATATATTCATAGGTGCAATTATTATTATTATTATTTGTATTTACTTTGTAGAAATCAATTCTTATTAGCTCAGGGATTATCCTGTCCCAAAGCTACCAAAACTGGTACCACAATTGTCGGTGTAATTTTTAAAGATGGAGTTATACTAGGCGCCGATACTAGGGCTACTGAAGGTTCCATTGTATCCGATAAGAATTGTTCAAAAATTCATTACATTGCCGACAATATGTATTGCTGTGGAGCGGGTACTGCTGCCGATACCGAAATGACGACCCAAATGATTGCATCTCAACTAAAATTGCAACAGTTAAACACAGGAAGAGAAGTTCCAGTTGTTACAGCTAATAGAATTCTTAAACAATTATTGTTTCGCTATCAAGTAAATATAATATAATATAATATTTGTGGCTCAGTATAATTTATTGAAGAAGAACATTTAGTAATAAGCTAGCTTATAAATTTTTAGGGACACATTGGAGCAGCTTTGGTTTTAGGAGGAGTTGATTCAACAGGTCCTCACATTTTTTGTATTCACCCACATGGTTCCACAGCCAAGCTTCCTTATGCAACTATGGGCTCAGGATCACTAGCTGCTATGGCTGTTTTTGAAGCTAAATGGAAACCTGATTTAGAAGAAGAAGAAGCCAAACAGCTTGTTTCTGAAGCCATTCAAGCTGGTATTTTTAACGATTTAGGATCTGGTGGAAATGTTGATATGTGTGTGATTAAAAAGGGCTCTGTAAAATACATAAGACCTTATCTGGAAGCAAACAAAAAGGGTAGCAGGTATTTTTTTTTTCATTTTTTTTTTTTTTTCACCAATTTTTTTTGAAATAATGAAATGTGTGATTAATTTTTTTTTTATTAATTTAATATTTTTAGGCAAAGTTCATATAGATTTCCTGCTGGAACTACAGCTGTGCTTAATAGTCGTGTAATTCCATTACTCGTGACTGATGAGTCTGTGACATATCATGGCCTTGAATCAATGGATGTTTCATCCTGAACAAAACAATTTTTGCAAATTTTTAGATTTTTTTAAACTATATTAAAATTAAAATATTAAACCCTTATGATAATTAAAAAAAAAAAAAATGTCAATGATGTAAGAAAAATACTTACTTAATTTTAAAATAAATGAATAATTTTTAAAAATTAATTATTTTGACTTATTATTTATATTAAAAAAAAAAAACTTCATAAAACTATTTAAGATGTAAAAAAAATTAAAGTTAAATGAACTCGACTAAATCGATTGTGCATCTGTACTTAGACTTCTGCAATGAAACATTTTTATTAATATGAATTGAAAATTATAAATTTATAAAAGAAATTTTTTACTTAAATTATTTTAATTTCACATATACTATTAATGTTTTATTAAGAATCCATTAGAATAATATGGTAATCTCAATTACTTTTTGACAGTTTGTTGAATAACAAATAAAACGTTAATATTTTCATTTTAAATCTTTTTGGAAATAATAAAGTAATAAAAAATTACATTTTTGCCACTACACCTTGATGAAAAGTAGCAAATTAGGAATCTTGACTCACCTGTAATTTACAATGACTGAAATTCATATATTATTTTAAACTGTTTCGTATTATTTTTCATTAACAACGGTATGGATGTAACAAGACATATTATTTTTAAAATTTATAATAATATAAGAATAAAAATTAATAATATTGTTTTTTAGAATAAATGTACAATTTATAAATTTTTGGTAAATTTATTTAAACAAATATAAATAATGGTATTCAATTACATTTTATGAGGAACTTGTGGAGTGAATAATCCAACTCCTTGTTTTGATGCAGCTCTAGAAGGAGCAAAGCCTAAAAGTTTTTGTATATTCTGTAAAAAAAAAAAAAAAAAATAGTTATCGATTAATAAAAATTAGCAGTATTACCTTGAAAATTTATTATTTTCTAATGCTTTAACTTTTGCCATTTTATATAAATTATTTTTTGATTTGAAAAATGTAATACAAATCATGCAACCCAAAAATGTTTCATTTATTAAAATAATATACAAAAAAATTATTAAAATGATTAACCTGTCTTATGGACATTGTACATAATATGTAAAGGAATATAAATGAGCATTCAGTAAAATCTTGCCCTGCCAAATTTCTGTGTGACAAACCTTGAATCCAAGATACAGGAACAAATGGCAGTTGTGCTACTACTTTGCCATCAAATCTAAAAATTACAATGATTCAGAAAATAATTTAAAGAACAATCATAATTTAATAATAATATAAATATACTTACATACTGTTGAACATGCTAAGAAGTGCTGTAAAAGCAAATCCTATGGCAAACATAGATTTCATTTTTACAAATGATAAATCTCTGTTATTATTTTTTAACTTTTCTTCTTGTCTTTCAATTTTTTTCTTATGTTGTTTAACAAATGAATCTCCATAAGTTTCTTTTTTTCTTTCCACTAAAAAATTAAAGAAATGCTAATTATATAAAAATTAATATTTTAGTACTGAGATACTGACATTTTTTACTCTGTTTTTCAATTTCTGTTTTCAATTTTTGATATTTTTCAGTTCTGTAAACTAAAATCCATGTTAAACCTAAAAGTAAAAAAGTACAACGTTTAAACATAAACATAAATACAACGTAAAGGAAATATTTTTTTAAAACTTATTATTATATTACAATATAATATTAATATTACACAAATATCTTTAAATAATAATTTAAAATCATCTTTTTAAACAAAAAAAAAAAAAAAATTTTTTAAACAAAATTTTATTAAGTTACCTTCCCCCAATAAAGCAGTACAGATGGATATAAATAATATTAACAATGTATCTGCCCACATTACTGGCTTTATATTTTACGAAAGTGTCAGGTTTTTATAAGGTATTCAAAGAAATATTTTACAACTCAAACTTTTGATCATACTTTAATAAATAATAATATAAATTTGGGATGAATGGAATTCCAGAAAATTTAGTGTAGAGTAACTAAGACCATTCACGAAGTGCAAAAAATTTTTAAGTCATAGAGGGGAGATTACAAGAAGGCGTTGGTTTTTAGTGTCAGCCATCTTATGGTTCTAAATTATTTATTATTATAAAGTTTAATAATTCTTTTTTTTTTATTATTTATATTTGTTTTTTAATTAATCAGTATTGCATACTTCAAAGTTGTAGGCAAATGTTTAAATGGACGCTTCGTCCATTATAACTCAAGTATCAAAAGATGACGATCAAGTGAATACTTATCCTTACTCTTTAGGAAAAGGTATGTTGTCCTATTAAATTCATTGGCAAACCTGCATCCTACTGAGTGCGTATTAAAATTTACTTTTTTTGTTTTACCTTTAAAATTAAGCTTTAGGCTTTAATTGTATTCAAATTAAATACCTGCGATAGTCTGCTATTAAATTGAATAAAATGACTTTAAAAAGTTTTAATATTACATTGCCAAAACATCAGTTTTGATATGTGCATTTTTTTAAGTAAAAAAATATAATTTATACCAAATTTAAATAATTAATAAAGAATTTCAAATTCTTTAATCTTACCCTTATAAAATACAAATCAATGTATATTATTACTATTATTTATACACAATATTAAAGTTTTTATGCAAATTGGAATTTGCTGTATAAATTTATTTAAGGTGTCAATAAGAAAAATTATCATTTTAATATAACATTTGTAAATTTTTTGTAGTTTCACCTACTGATATTAAGGAGTCATCACCTAATTCATTGCTTAAAAAACCTAGAAGAAAATTTTTGAGGACATTATTCTGTTGCTTTAGTAGAAGATCCAATTCTAAAAGCACTGAATCTTCATTTAACAATCAAGATAATTCTTTTAGCTCTGAAACACCTCGTTATCTTCTAGATGCAATTAGAAAGCAGGACATTCATAAAAAATGTATGGTTATAGATTTAGATGAAACTTTAGTACACAGTTCTTTTAAGGTAATTTATCAACAAAATATATGATTATATTTTTTTTTTTTTTTGTTATTAACCATTATTTTGTAGAGGTGTATAATTAAAGTAGAAATTTTGTCTTTGACTAAAAAAAAAAATGTAATTTTTTAAATTGAAGCCCATCAACAATGCAGATTTTGTTGTACCAGTGGAAATTGATGGCAAAGTTCACCAAGTGTATGTTTTAAAGAGGCCATATGTTGATGAGTTCCTAAAAAGAATGGGTGAATTGTATGAATGCATCCTTTTCACTGCTAGTTTAGCCAAGGTAAATTTTTCTGTAAACATTAATATTTTTGAATTTTTTTTTTTTTTCACTCCTAATTGCTTTTAAGATTTTTTTTAATTTTATTAAACTTTTGATTGATTACATTAGAGATTTGTTATTAAAATAAGTTTAAAAATTTGTGTTGAAAAGATGTAAATAGTTCAGTATATAAATATTTTTTAAATTTTAATTTGTTTATTATTATTTTTTTTTCAGTATGCAGATCCTGTGACTGACTTGTTGGATCGATGGGGTGTCTTCCGAGCTAGACTTTTTAGAGACTCTTGTGTCTTCCATAGAGGAAATTATGTAAAAGATCTTAATAAACTTGGTCGTGATTTAAAGAAAATTATTATTGTAGACAACTCACCTGCTTCATATATTTTTCAACCAGATAATGCAGTGAGTTTTTTTTAAAATTTTATTTCACACAATTAAAGGCCTTTTAAAATAAGATTTTTTTTAATAAAAAAAATTTGATATTTAAAACTGTTTAGGTGCCTGTTGCGTCTTGGTTTGACGATATGACTGATTCTGAATTGCTTGATCTGATTCCGTTTTTTGAAAAATTGAGTAAAGTTGATAATATATATTCAGTACTATGCAACTCAAATCATCCATTTCATGCATCAACATATGCCACCAATGCACAATCTTCTAGTAATATACAGATCAACAATCATTCAACAATGGTAGCCGGATCTTAGCCGGAACCTTTTTCCAGTTTTTTAGACATCGCATTGCTGTTTTTTAATTGTAGAACTTATCTTCGTAAAATATGTGAAGGTACTAACAAATTTTTACATAATTTTTTACACTATCAGTGCTAATTAAGA